GTCTGACCCAACCCTGGATGTGGGCCCCGGGGGCATTCGCGACTCTACGGTTGGGTCCCTGCTCAAATCCATGGATCACTTGCGACTAAACGCCTCTCTAAATCATTGCACATGTGAGTGGTTCAACTAATAGGGCTATACTAGTACAATCCCAGCGCAAAATTTGATCTTCGGCAACTGTGCCGCATCCCAGCCCGATGCAGGGATTGAAGCCTCAGGCACGTCAGAGCAGCTCTTTGCCAACATGGCACGATAACTAGCTGGACCATGTTACCATAGTTCTAAAAACATCTTGAAACCCCGAAATGGATATGAATCTCGCCAAAACTCCTATAGCCCTGCGACTGAGGAGCTGGATCAGGACCGACAGCCTACGTGAGATGTCTCGTGGCAGGAGTGACAATGACCTTGTCTTGGGGCTTGTACGTCTGAGTGGACGTCTGGGTGCACGGATTGGTGCACGGATTGGTAATGCTCGGATAACTTGTCATTTCGGCCAAAGGTTCTGCCACAGTATGGAGCCGGACATTTGAAAGCATTGGGGAATAGATGCTTCTCCTTGATGTGACGCCACAAGGATGTGTTGTGGGAATAGAGTCTCGTGCTTGAGCAGCCTATCCAGCCACATTTGGATTGACCGACGGTTCCACTGCTTGATCATGAGGTTAGACCAATGAAAATCCATGAGATGCGTGACTAGATACATCGAAAGAAGCTTACTTCGCTTTGGCTGGGGCGCGACGGCTCCGTGGAGAATGCCCAGCTCGAAGACTATCACAGCATTTCTCTTTGGGGGGTTGTCTCGGTGGCGGTGATGCGATTTTGGGAACTTCCATCGAGCCCTCAAGATCCACTACAGAACCACTTGCTATGTTCTTTGATTCAAGCGTGGCAAGATTGTCTCGAACCAAGCCGATCTCCGGATCGTCGGGGTGCTGAGTGGCGCCTGATATACTCGGGTATCTTCCATCTATGGCCCACGGTTCTTGCACATAGGAATCGTAGACGGGAGGTACGGCCGGGGCGGTTTGCTGAAAAGAAAGGTGTGCACTTGGCTGTGGGCTGGGGACCGGGTATAGCATAGTGCGAGGTGAAGGGTTCATCGTTAAAGGAAAGTACTCGAGTCCTTCCCAAAGGGATTGTTCGAAGTCTGCAACGTCGTGTGTCATGACGGGGGTGGAACAAAGTACGCAGATCAGAGCGAAAGACAGTATGCTTCGACGAGAATCGCACGCAATGTAGCACCTGGGTAATGAAAGAAGTGATTGTAAAAGATCGTGGGAACTGAGAGCTTATATATACCCAGGTATGCTCTGGGTGTTCCCTGATGATCTGGGGTTTCAACGTGCGAAATATTATTATAGATCTATGTACTCCGTACGTATGCTCCCGTCAAAGTGGCCCGTGCACAGTAACTACTCCCGAGGTACCTTGGGTCTGTCCACCAATCAAACACCCGGGCTCTGTTGGCTACATTACATACAATACTAGTACATAAAACATCTCCGAGCAGATCAGTGGATCTGGGGGCGAGTTTGGTTGTCCGATGTTGGCACTCGGTCTAACCAATTTTGGGTCGAGCCTGACAATCCATCCAAGGTTGTCTCAGGGCTCTCGTCATAGTCTCCCAATTAGGACTAGTGGATATGATCGATACCATCCACGGATACACCCTATGTACGGAGTACACAGTGTATCGAACATGGTATCCTCCAAAATGAAGCTACTAGTCCGTATACACCTGGGCAAACCTAGATGCCTAGTTACTGAGCTCCTTCAAGTTAACGAAGTCCCAAGAAAGAGAACAAGCCAACAATCACGCGAGCTGTTTGCACGGTTTACCTTCCCTCGATGACAAAATACAGGTACCGAGGTCATGGGCATTTTTACAGAACCAATTCGTTACCTAGGTAGCTCCTCGGCGTGATGTGATGTTTCCACCCTTCTAGAAGGGCCCTATGCTTATCGGACTCCCCGTCCACCTGGCAACATTGGAACCTTGGAAGCGCTATCGCTGCTGTCATCTGTCAGCAACCTTCCTCCAACTAGCAATTGTAGAATATTAATCTGTTTTATTTTGTTCTTTGCCAAGGAGGAAGCTCGACTCTTATTTCAGACTCTTGGTCGTTCTACCCCTGTGTACGATAGATACTGTGCTGGCTAACCCAGACGTGATCGAGTATTTTGGGTATTTTGGGCGTGTGTACTCCGTATATTGTATAACGACAAATCGTACTCTTCGTCAGCCTGCGAGTAATCCAGGACTGGAGTTATTCATCGCGTCTTTGCGGTATGATGGAGTCAACCTTTCTTAAGAGAACTCCCTCCCTAGACTTTGTCCACGAGGCTCTTGTCGGGTTGAAAAGGGCTTTAGAATACGAGCATGTATAGAGTACTTGCCGAAGACCGTGACGCGTAGGAGAGAATGCGACGTCTTTATGTCACTGCCATGTACTGGGTACCTGTCTGCAGGATGCGGAGACCCCCAGGGCTCAATGCCTGAGAGCGGAGTCTCAAGGGTCGTCTAGGCGGTCGATGGAATATGCGTTCCCTTCTGTTTTTTACTTGACCCCTTTCCCGCCTTTTTTCTTTTTCTTCTTTTATTTTATTTTCTTCTTTTTCTTTTTAGAAAAGAGACCTTCTGTTTACATTTTAATTACGGAGTAAATTATTTTCCATTCCGATTAAATTATTTGTCTTTTGTTCTTCGCCTTTGAATTATTTTCGGCTCATTTTGCTTCCTCGAGGCCGTTCAGCTCAAGTGATTACATTTGCGGCGCCATGATACCCCTGTCTGAGTTCACCGTCGAAGTCGGTGGGACTCATTTAACGATCTAGTCTGGACAGTATCGCACAGTGTACATCCAATGAGCGATTAGTATTCAACACCACTCTGGCCTCACAGGAAAGGATGGATGTGGGGGACTCCGTATCCCCAGGCACCTGTAGGTGGGCAGTGTGTCTAGGTGACCTTAACCAGAGAAACCGAGTGCTGTCTGACTACCGCATGATCCAGAATGGGGGTTTACCTCGCTTCAGCAAGACTACTTTCCAAAGGTTGAATCATTCGGTGACCCAAACGTCCCACTGCAAAAGCTAACATTCAGCAACCGTGATCGCCGACGCGAGCGAAATTGGAACGAGAACGTCGCGATCTGAGGTACTCTGCAGAAAGGGTCTGACGTACTGCAAGAGATACTGTCGATGAAGACAGGGAGACGGCTTGGTGTTGTTGTGTTGTGAAAACGATTCACGAAATTCCTTTTCGTCAATTCTTTATTGTAGTCATCGGCCTCTTAGGTTAACGAATGGAGTCATTTACAATGTACAACCTCAAGTTTTCTCTAATTAACATGTTTGCGCATCTTAAATTCTTGCCTTACCTGATCCAGGCAAATCGAGCTGCTTTGAGATCTCTGAGCTCGGAATTGGAGTTTGTTGACAAAAGGCCGAATCGCAACAATATAGCTGTAAGTCTTATCATGGCAATCAACTGCTTGTAAACGCCACCCGCGTAGCATGCTTGTTTGTCGGATCTAGCTAAAAGGCTGAAGCAGCTTTCACTTACTGCAGGGCACCGAAAGCGATTTGGCGCCAAGGAGAGGATTCGGTTATAGGCTCTTCAAAGAAAGTGAGACGATTAGTATCCGAATCAAATTGTGGACCATATCAACAAATCTCTACTGCTATAAAATTTCCATTCAGTGTCTGAGAGGTAAAGAATCGGATGTGTTACGACCTGCCGCAGTATGTTATAGAGTATAGAACACACGGCGTGGTTGAAGGGCACCCGGAAGCCCAGAGCCACCTATAACATTACTACGACCTCAGAGCTTCAAGATCGGAAAGTCGGGGTCTACACATGTACTGTCTGCAGTGTTAGCCATAAGCAAATGACTACTGCCGGTTTGGCTTGATCCCAAACGCAAGGGTAGCAAGTCCCTGAGGATCCGCGGGCTCGTACTCGTATCGTAGCACGAGCAGTCGAGGGCCATTTTCGAGCACTTCGACTGAACATCGTGGCCCCTCAATCCATGGAGTCGGCAAGGTATGTAAAATTGTATTCAAGGACAGATCAAACGAAAACTCTTATGTGGTATATCCAGAAGCAACATGGCTTTCATAGGCTTCATCGCGCCCGTTCCAACGCCAATCGCATCAAGGTGTATCGCGGAAAATTCTAGCAGCAGCACTCGCAGCACTCGAAACAGGCGATACCGGCGCAGCTAAACACTCATTAGCATCTCATGATTCGTGTCAAATTCTCCGCGTTTGCAACTCACACTCCACAGCAGATGTCACCACCCTCACCGCCACCACGGAGTTCCATCTTCATGGACTCGGGGTTCTGATAGATGTCAGTCGATAATCGGCTCGCAGGGTTGTGGTATGCAAAACGTACGGGCTGCTGGACGACGACGTTGTTGGAGGACATGGCCTCGGCAGTGGAGGGCTGCTCCATGGTCATGGTCGCGGCATCCCAGGTGGGCTCTTGCTTGGCTTCGTTGGAAGACTTGAACCAGCTGAACATTTTGAAGGATATTTTAGTAGAGTGTGGGAGTGTGAGGGGAAGAGTGAGTGAGAAATGCTGGAAAATTAAGGGGGGTGTTTTCCTTTTATTAGGATTTTCTCACCCAGGCAATCTGAAAGTCCAGAGCCGAGCGGACAAATTTCAGGGACCGATAGGTCTCTTCTCGTAGGTAAGCCAAGGCAGCCGGATTCTAAGCGGTGGAGCTGAATCGGCTGTTCGGGTGTTTGGGTGCTTTGGGCTACTCGTCCATGACATCGGTGGCACTGCTACGTTTCATTCACTCCGGACAAGGGAAGGTGTGAATACTGCTTCCATTATCTATTTTAGTAGATATAGAGAACATAAAGAAGTGCCGTCGCGATAGAAGTAACCTTTCCACGATCCATGGTCTCGGCCACGTGAGGAACCAAGCTTTTTAGTCAAGCTTTGCCCAACCTTGGCACGTTTTGCCGTTCAGCCCTACCGACGATCACGGTCGGTACACCACCGCGTCCATCATCCCATGCAATGACGCTGGCGCATCATGCTTAGACATGTGCAACTCAACGAGTCGCAAAGGTGTGTCATCAACCACATTGGGTCCAAAAGAAGGGTCCTTGAGAAGCATGTCCAACTCGGCCTGAGTGTGGACAGCATAGGTACGAGCACTCCCAGGTGCGGCCTTGAACACTTTGGGGAGGAACGTATGATCCCAAGGTTGAATGTCGTTATATTCTGCCTCGGGGCCATTGACCAGGCGTTCCATGGTGTAGCCCTCGTTGCAGACAACAAAAATAATCACCCCCAATCTGCGCCTGACCATGGTACTGATCTCCTGTACAGTCATTTGGAGACTCCCATCGCCAGTAAACAGGATTGTGCGACGTTGGGAATTTTTTTCTTCTTGTTCTTCTTCCCGTGCCGCGAGAGCGGCTCCGACCGCTGCGCCGACCGCGTATCCGATCGAGCACCACAGTAACTGAGTGAGTGGGACTGCTCCGCGTGGGTATCGAGTCCACAGTGTTCCGAAACTAGAAGTGCCCAAATCTGCAGCGATGATATCGCCTTCCTGGAGCCAGGGACCGAACCGCTCCCAGACCCAATCTTGTGTCAATGCGGCGGACTTGCTGGGAATTTGACTTTTGCACTCAAGTAAATCACCATTCAAGCTCATAGGGGGAGTTGAAACAGATGAGACCGACTCGGATAATTCGGGTGTATCACTGAGCTTTCTCGGAGTAGTCCAGGCTGGTGAAACTGACCTCGTCCCTTCCCGGTGGAGGGCGTCGCTGAGCTTGAAGAGAACACCGCTCGAGTTGAGCCCTTGAACTTCAGAACGCAGTGTGATGCTATCGCGGTTGAATTCAATGGTCTCGGCGTGGGGCAGACCCGTCCTGAACTTGGCTGTGTTGAGATCTGTCGATCGTGGTCCGATATGCAAGATCAAGTCACAAGGTTGAATTTCTTCGAAGACGGTCGGCTGAGAGACCAGTTCGGCATATATGCCACGGAAATTGGGTAGGGTCTCATCGACTATCCCTTTGGCCATTGGGGTAATGAAGCAAGGTAGCCCCGAGCTTTCTACCAATGATCTTGCCGATTTCAATATATGAGGCTTCCCGGCAAGACTGTCGACTAGAATAGCCGGGTTCTGAGCTGCCAGAATGCGATCCAAGATGGAATCCACCACACCCTCTTCCTCCGCCGTAGGGTTGGGGGCCCTTTCGGCAGCCAGAGGGCGCGTAAGTGGAGAATAATCCACCTCTGCCCGGACGAGATCCATAGGAAAACCGATATAAACCGGCTTGCTAGAATTGTAACATTCTAGGATGGTCTCGTCAATCAGCCGAGCTGCATTGGACTTATCCTTGAGAATGACAACTGCGCTTGAAATCTGAGCGCTCATCTTGGCAAACCGCTCAAAGTCACCATCCCCCAGAGTATGGTGTATAGGCAGGCGCTTCTTCTGGGTCACGGTAGACGGATACCCCACGATGTGAATGACAGGGACTAGCTCTGCACTTGACCCGGCCAAGGCGTTGATGGCAGAAAGCTCCCCAACACCAAGTGTAGTCATTATCGCGGAGATCCCTTTGATGCGAGCATAACCATCGGCTGCGTAGCCTGTGGAGATACTTGGTTAGACGTACTGGTTTCACTGATCTTGAAGGTATAGCCACTTGCCTGCGTTGAGCTCGTTTGTGTTCCCAACCCAGTTGAGCCCACACGACTCAAGGTAGTCGAGGGAAGTGAGATTGAAGTCTCCCGGACATCCGAAGACGGATCGAATTCCAAGTTGATGAAGACGGTGGAATAAGTACTATGTTAGAGACTAGTATGAGAAACAGAAAACGATGAACTCGACAAGTCTCAATGGGCTTACCTCGGTGAGATTCATGATGAATGTGGGATATTTTGATGTCTTTCGAATTGTGGAAATTGTTGGAAGTGTTGATTCTTCATTGAGATGTAATGCCTGGGTTCAACCGGCTCTACCCAAGCCTCTTATAAGGCCACCATCTGGCGTCGTCCGAAAAGAATATCCTTCGAATTCCCTCATGGCCGGAAATATTCCTCCGGTCCATGCTATCAATAGCATTGTGCAGAATGAAATGTACTCGCTCGTTACGCAAAAGTAGCATATGGATAAGATTTACGCAGCTGTGTAACTGCAACAAATTCATCTGGACGTGTGAAGCTCACAAGGAATCGCACCATACTTGATTGGAATTTCTTTGAATCATCATGCATTGCGATGAGAATACTCTCCTTTGAAGAAAGCCCTTGCATTAAAGACTGCCGTGCAACACACGATGATGCCCCAAGCAGACCAATTGGGCAGTTTATAGCTTCTCATTGTACTGCAAACCATTCGTCGGGAGCTTTCTCCGAATAAATTGTCATCCCACGCCCTTGCATCGGTGGATAAAACACGACTTGAACGACTGTAAATCTTTTTCTGGTAGTATCAAGAGGCTATACTACAGGGAGCGCCACCTCCCAGCTTCTAAGTATGCACCGTATACTGATGACGCGGAAGCCTCAGATTGAACCAACACCTCGCGATCAAATGCCGCTTGATCAGGAAGTCCATACTATGTGAAGGTTAGTCGTATTCAGAAAAGTCATTCTTGATAGCACTAAATTTCCACCATTTCTCAAACTTGGAATGCTACCTAGATGGCTATATATACTCTGATACAGCCATCTTGATTATCTTCAAGATTCGTTCTTTATCTCTCCAAGGTTTCACAGACGACTGCGAACACACTGTTTCGGGCCAGATACAGCGAGATCTGCAATATCCTCGCCGCGCCAGAAACTTTGAATCGCATTCCAGTACTGGACAGAATTTCGCATTATCAGTCCACAATGTGTCCCGTGTTCAAAGATCACCTGGTCAACGCGATGTCCTAGAATCCGAGCTTCCTCAACATGATCATGAACATCCGCCCAGCCAATTACAGGATCATCTTTCGTATACAGATAGAGCCTTGCAGGGCTTGGTCCAAATGTATTCGGATCGTTGAGCAGATCCCGCAGCTCCTGAACGGAGCGCAAGAGACCTGCATTCTGCAATCCGACAACCAGAGACATGGCCGGGTAAAGCAGTGCCTTGCCTAAGAGCTGTGCAACTGGATTACTCGGGACCGCCACACGCGCTGCCGCGTACGACTTGTCAAGACTGTTATCGCCAGGGGCACAGTCCAGGATTAAGCTTTGAAGGCTTGTGAAAAACGGTGAGCCCTGATCGTCACTTTCCTTCATTGCTAGGGCGAGTTGACAGCCGATCAAGGATCCACCATGAGAGAACATGTGGAGCAAAGTACCAGCATTGGTGTTGTTGTCCGATTCTTTTAGTATTCGTCGAATGGCGGTACATGCTGGCTCCAGTCGGGACCGGACCTGGTCGAGGGGCCGGAATGCAACGTTGAGTACACTGCATTTCAACAAGAGGATACTGGCTCCGGGGTAGAGCGATTGATATTGAGACACGTATTTGTTGATTCGGCGGGGAGTAGCTCCTCCAACCCAAGTGCAGAGGATGATCAGTGACGGTCCTCTTGGATCGGCCGATGGTCCTGGATCGGCATTATTCGGCTCATACAGAACGATGTCCTCGTCCTGGACTTTCAGTGCCTCAGGATTGGCGTGAGACGCCATGGTCTTCAATGAATAAATTCCACTGTTATTCTTGAGTTGTGCCAAGTCGTAACGATGGGAGAAGGTTGGATCACGCTACCTCCAAGTCGATACTAGTGCTTACGCTGGTCATCTCATTGGCCCGAGTACCTTTTCCTTTTGAGGTCATGTCGTCGAACTCCCTTGGATTTGATGAAGTAGTACTCGACTGGTTGATCGATTAGTGGTACTATCAGATTCATTGGTCCACGGTGCATGAAGCTATCTCAAACCTCGGGGACTTGACCGATTTCGATTTATGTGCATGTTCTCCGCTCTGTTGGCCCTGTCTCAACATTCCAAGGCTCTTGCAAAGCTGTTTGGATAAGGCCACTGATATATTCACACATAAAAGTGCAAACATTATTCATTCTCTTTCCTCCACAGTAGCATGATCCTCCTCGATATTCTTCTTCGCCGTGGTGCCTTCGTCCGCGAAGCCGAGTCGTGCCCGGACGCTTAACATTCGTGTCAAGTCCTCTTGGCCTTGATTGCCTCCGAACAATTGATCCATTTCCTCGATAGGCACGCCTTTTGTTTCGGGTACCAGAAACATGACCCAAACAAACAGTATAACGCAGAAAGCCAAGAAGAAATAAAACGTGCCGAATGTTATTGATTCCAACATTCGTGGGGTGATCAGCGCAACAATGAACTGCAGTACAGTGTCAACTTCCAAGTTAATTGTCTTTACATTGAGCATGGGTTGAAACTCACATTGGTCAACCAGTTGGTTCCAATAGCAATACTAACACCCTTGGAGCGGACACAAGGTGGGAATATTTCAGAGGGCATGATCCAGTTGACGCATCCTGATATGTTCATTAGCCGTTGGACAAGTTCTTGTCCAGATGTGAGCCGAGGGCAAAGATCACTCACCAATGCTGTAGGCGAAGTTGGCAATATATATCCAAATGAAAACAGCTGCAGCCCATCCTGCACCGACGTTTGTTTCCCATCGATCTCGGTAGACGGCGTACAATGTACCGACTATCAACTGGGAGGTGCCCATGCCGGCTGCGCCCATCAGCAGGATTTTGCGACGTCCCCATCTGAGCAAGAGTTAAAAAGTGGGCATGTGGACAAGAAAGCCGACCAACTCACTTGTCAATAAACATGATGGTGGGAATGGTGAACACGAAATTGATGATTCCCACAACACCCGTTGCAAGCAAACTTATCGAATCTCCTTTGAGGCCAATCTTGATAATTTTTGGTTAGTGATCTACTAGGTGGAACGTTCAATTCAACCTTCCAGGTTGGAAGTCAACATACCGATCGAAACATGATTGGAGCATAATATATAACAGCATTTATACCTGTCCACATAAGCAAGAGTCCTTCGAGCACGATAATTCAACCCACCGGTAAATTGCTGTATGAATTGGAGCATGCACGCAATGAGAAGCCGCCGGTTGAGATGAGGCAAAACAAATAGATCCTTGTACTCCCGAAGCGCCACCTGAACTTTTCCGCGTACATCAGGATATTTGGCTGCTCTTGTTTCCTGTTCGAAAAGACTAGCTGCTTTGATCTCCAAGAGCTCAAGGCGAATTCGAGGATCCGATTCTGGGACCCGACGTAATCGACAAAGAACATCCCGTGCTTCTTGTTCGCGATCTGACAGGAGTCAGCTCCAAAGATACCTAGTCATGTTGGAAAAAGATTGGCATACCGGCTTGTACCAACCACCGAGGACTATATGGCAGAAAGAACGTGCCAACTGCCAAAAGCAAAGAAGGAAAGCATTGGAATGCCAAAGGAAATCGCCATGCAGCTTCCGATTGACCATCCTCTGCCCCTCCAATATATTGGGTTGCATAGTCCAACCAGAATGCACACATTATACCACATGTGATAGCAAGTTGCTGTAGTGCGACAAGGCTTCCACGTAGCTCTGGTGGTGCTACTTCACTCAGGTACAGTGGGACTACCATAGACAGCATGCCTATCGAAACACCCGTGATGAAACGGGAGATGAAGATCATAGGCAGGTCTTGGGCTCCTGCTTGAATGGCCGAGCCGATGAGGAAGATGATATTGGCGTAGAGGATTGACCAGCGTCTCGAGAAGCGATCGGCGATAGGCCCGTTGACGAAGGCCCCAAACATCGCACCGAGAGTGAGGATCGATACCATCCACCCTTGAAGTGTTGCATCGTCGGCAAGGGTTGGGAATTGCTTGCCCTTTTTGTGATGGTGAGTGGCAGATATACAATGGTGAGGATATGGACTTACAAAATTGTTCATTACCAGAATCCCAGAGATAACGCCTTGATCATAGCTGTGATTTTGATTCTGTTAGTCCCTTGGAGTATAGAATAACGTCGCTTGACTTACCCGTATAGAAATCCCCCGATGCTAGCAAATAGTGCTTGCGAGAAGATATAAGGGCTTCTGATGAGACCCTTGATTCCTATAGAGTAGGTGAGCTTTGCATGATGGCTTTTCACCCGGTCGTTCTACCTGCCGGGCCATAAGAGATACTGATGTCTCCTATTGCTGCATTCTCAAGAGCAACCATCCTGAAATTGTCAAGGGGTAAGTCTTAACTCAAGAGCCAAATATGAGTATAATCTGATCATACGACAGTGGGCTCGACCCTCGATTTATAGACATTGAACTCAGACTGACTCCGCATAACGCTCGGCCCGGGGAACGGCCAAAAGCTGGGGTCTGGGGATCTGTATGGTCCTTCCACAGAGTGATCTTATTCGTTGATCAATCAAGTGTCATCTAGATCCGGCACACTGATGCCCGACGGGAAAGATCATGTTGTGCTCGTCGGAACACTCTGGCCCTATCCTATGTTCGGGGCCTGTCAGCCGAACGATCTCGGGGTTTGAGTGTCAGACGTGGAATTTCGGGGTATATAAAGCTAGATAAGCTGCATTTACTATGCAGCACCTCAGAAAACTCTCTCGCGCCGTTCTTCATTCCAAGGTAAAACATATCCAAAAGTCACTTTGCAGTGTCAAAAGACCTGAGCCAGGTTTGATCGACATTGGAGGGCATGTAATCAAACGCCTCCCCTTCGCCTGTACTTGGGAACCCATTGAGACCCTCGAATAAGTCTTTGTCCCACGATGTATCCTCAAAGAGCATCTGAAGTGTTGGATCGACGGCCATCAGTGCCGATGGAACATCGAACTCCGCAGGCACTTCATGCTCCTGGAGTGTGACAGGTGGATAATCGACCTGAGCTTCTGGTCCTGGAGCCGGAGTGGACGATTGATCCAAAGGTTGTAGTCGATCACTGATCCTCTCCAATACTTCCAAACAGCGTGCTGCCGCGGAATTACGGCGAGTCAGGGAAGCCAAACAGTCCCTAGAGCGTATGATGGAAGATAGCCATAGCTCATTGCTACCATGCTCTAACGCTGTATGATCAGGATGAGTAGGTCGGAGATGGTGGATGCTCAGCACAACTGCCGCCTGAAAAAGGAAGTATGTCGCATACCAGCTTAGTCCTGCATGAAGGACAGCGGCGTTATCTCGGCAGAAATTCGAGATATCCTGGATTGTTTCCACTGCTGTGAAGTGGCACATGTTTTGTGCTTCTTCGTGGTCGGAGGGAAAACTACATAGTCGCTTGCTTCCCCACCACAGCATCATTCGTAGATTTTGTTCTTTCCACCCGACTATTGCGCGTGGGCCTTGGAACCAGTGTGGTACATTGGGTGCGGTGAAGTAGCATGGTAGCGATAACCGCCAGGCTTTGAACTGGTTGTCGATGGACCGCGATATCTTCAAGTCCCAGGGGCTCTGGCTTGTCGAGGACAGTATCTCGCTGAATACCACGTTTCCAATAGAGGCCAGGCGAGATTGTGCGATGATGGCTGAATAAGAGGTCGGGTTCTCAGTTGGAGTGGGCAGAATGGAGTTCAACTCAATGTTCTTGTAAATGATCAGCAATGTGATAAATAAACCCTGGGGCATTGGAAGGTTGCTGAGGACACTCACCGAATCGTCTATGTTGCGCGGAAGTTTTGTTTCGATAAAGGAATCCGACACCATGATGGGCCTTCCGGTTGTAAAGCTGAAGCCACTGTCAAAGCAGTAGACAGTCCACCAAACCACCCGTCGACGCTCATTCAGCAACGTGTTGGTAGTTGCTGTCCCCGAAGGTGGTTCACGATGAAGCCCGAGGCCAAGTGCCATCCGATAGGCGATTCCAACAAAATTGTATCCTGTATTTGGCCGGTCGCGTTTCTGGAGATAATTGCCCTGTCATACCATTATTAAACTGGCCAGATAGCTGATCAAATCCGTAACGTTGTATCCATACCATCAGGAGAAAAGCCTGCACCGCCAGAAGTGTACCCGACTCAAGCATCCGCATCGACATGCGCGAACGGGCGGCCGTGTAATAATGGGATTGTTCGGCATCTTCTGTCACAGTCCAGTGTCCAATTGCTAAGACCAGGAAGAAAATTGCATGCCACGTTGATCGGGGATGGATTTGTTGTCGGTTTTCGCATTCTCGTCGGAATGTTCTTTCGTGCAGGATAGGATATGCTGGGTTATACCAGGTGAAATAGGCGTCAATGAGACTGTTGATTGTGGCAGTATCGGCAAGGTTCACTGGCACCGAAGGACTTGCCACTGAAGCAGTCTCGGTGATCAAAGATTGTTCGTCGTTTCCCCGTCGAGATATTGATTCCTTGTGCGGAATCAGATCTGAGATTGATCTGAGAAGGCTGGATCCCGAGGAGTTTCCTGGTTTCGGTCAGTAGTCTGCTTCCCTGGGGTCAAGGTCTGAAACTCACCAAGATAGCCTGACTCTGCTCTCTTACTTGGTAACGAGGCCATCCCATCCAGTGGAACATCTTGGGCCGCGGATGGCGAAGTCAATGACGGCTCGTTCCATTCGAGTCTGTCAGAAATAGCATCATTCTCCGGATCACGTCTTGGTGCTTGAGACGTTGAAGCAAATGCTCCGATATCCAAACTTGGGTTGCTTGTGAGGTCTTCTAGCGCAACTTCCACATCAACATCGGGGTCGATTCGCTGTATCAAAGAGACAAGCGCAGCACATCGGAGCTCCGTGGCGTCCAGATTTCTATCTCGTGTGAGCGCACTGGGATCCGAAAAGCATCGGCATTCAATGAGGACTCACTTTCTAGTCAATGGCGTCCGAGATGGAGGCGGGCCGAATATGCACGACTTCTTTACCCGACTACAATAAGAGCACGGTTGGTTCCCCGAGCACTGGGGAGATCAGCATGAATTCTGCAGTGAACATGGGCTCCTTACCTTGGTCTTGCGTTTCTACAGATATCACATACAGCAGTCAGTCCCTAACTTCGGCAAATCGCGTCGGTCTTACCCTGCACTCCGTACACTATTGCCTGTCAGTCGGTCACTCGTCGGGGGTTAGAAACCATACCGCTCGGACATCATGCGGCCCCAATGATGGTCGTTTGGACTTAGGCATGTTCTCAAGGTCCCCGGTAATGAGTCAATCGGTCCGTTGCTCTTTGAGCTGTTTGTGACTTCGAGTGGCGAGAAGGCCCGTCGGTCCACAGTGACCCGAGGTACTTGGGAGCGGAGAGTCCGACGCAACGTTGACGGTGTATGTCAATCTTCATGTACTGTATGTATGGCAATGCGATGGTCAATCCTAATCCGGTCCCTTGTTCAACAAAACAGGCATGGACAAATGTACAAGGCCAACAGGCCCGGGAGTCACCTCCGGAGCCCCTCTCGACCGTACAGTCGCAGTTAAGAATCCAGAGAATGCTCTATTGGTATACTTCCAAGCTGACAGCACAGCATACTGTTCATCGATCAGACGTTGACGACATGTTCTTTTCAATGAACTCGCAGGCTTCTGACAGTTCCTGACGCATCTATGAACCCCTCGGGGGCCACTGCGCCGACGGTGGGTCTCTCCCCCGCGCTGAACTACGTGTATATAACGGGGGCAGATCGCTTTCTTTTTCGTGCAACACAAGCAAAATGTCTATGTCCGTGAATGATTGTGCCACTATTCGGGATGGCTTCCCTCGACCCTTCCCCGATACCCCCTCCAATGTGCTGCAGCAGTTCCAGATGAAGGGGAAGGTCGTGGTGATTACAGGTGCGGCGGATGGACTCGGATATGCGGTGGCAGAGTCAATGGCAGAGGCTGGAGCCAATGTCGCCTTGTGGTATAACTCGTCAGTTACCTATCTCACCATATTTGGATCCATTGGCTAACCCAGGCAGAAATGATGTCGCTATTGAGAAAGCAAAGGCGCTGGCCGATCAACACAGCATTAAGACTTCCGCTTACAAGGTCGATGGTAAATGATTCTCTGGTTGCCTTGAAGTCGCGATACTAAGCGGCTCTGCAGTCTCGGACTCGACTCAAGTTTCGGAGACGGTTACCAGGGTGGTTCAAGACTTTGGCAAGATCGATGTCTTCGTGGCCAATGCAGGTGAGCCAATTCATACGTCCACACGGCAATATCGCAGTCAACTAAACGTGAACCTAGGCATGGCCATCTCGAAGCCCATTCTGGAGCAGACCTTAGACGAGTATCGGAAGCAGATGTCTGTGAATGGTATGTTCTCTGTCACGGAACCCTCTGAGCTCATGCTGACCACGACCAGTGGACGGCATCGTGTATTGTGCCAAATATGCCGGGGAGGTGTTCGCCAAACAGGGCCACGGCAACCTGATCATCACCTCCAGCATGAGCGGCCACGTTGTCAACGTCCCCGTGGACCAGCCTGTCTACAACGCAACCAAGGCCTACGTCACCCACTTTGGCAAGTCTCTCGCTCGCGAATGGCGTGAGTTCGCCCGGGTGAATATTGTCTCGCCGGGCTTCTTCGACACCAAGATGGGTGCGGGCCCGGACTGCTTGCAAGAAGCGTATCGCATGTCTTCGCTGGGGCGACAGGGTCATGTGAAGGAGATCAAGGGGTTGTATCTGTATCTGGCCAGCGATGCGTCGACCTACATGACTGGCAGCGATGTGATCATCGATGGAGGCTATGTGTTGCCCTGAATGGCATGACGCCATTAGCTCCGATGTAAGGGTATATATACCCGGCCATGTACCATGACGCCATGCTGGTCAAATGAAGCTTCGAAAACAAATTAAACGGAAAACCTGCTTGCCAAGACACGGGTGTCGTCAGCTCTCGCTCCAGGGTCCTACAGTCAGATAATATATGATGAAAACCTGCTTTTTGTGGGGGCGTGATTGGTTGGTGTGGCGGCCCGTTCGACTTGCAAATGAGAAGGAGAATGAGAGACAAAAATCAGTCAAGTAGACAAGTAGACAGACACACAAAAAGAAGAGTTGGATCTTCCCCACGTTTTCGGCGGTGGATCCGTGACTTCACGCGATTCCGACTTCTGCCCCTCCTTTCCCTCTTCTTCTCTCTCCCACTCTCTCTGCATTTTGCTCTCAGCGCCATCGGGTGCATAGCCAATACGGCCTTCTCATAGCACTGATTCCGGCCATTGGTGTCGGTTCGCCCACCATGGCTGATACGCGAGATTTTGCCTCCGAGGCAACCGAGAACGACTCTGCCTCTGGCGAGACATCCCCGACCCTCCCCCGCCAGAGCGCTCCCTCCGTCCTTCCCCCGCGCGACGCAGGGGGTCTCTCGGCCTCCTCCACACATTTGGGCCAGATCAATGCCGCGCGCCGGGGTGCGGGACCCTCACCGCACCCCCAGCCCGCGATGAGCTCCAAAGCAGCCGGGGGGTTAAATCAGGACATCATGGCCAAAATGAAGGCTTTCTCCCTGTCCCGACAAGGGGCTCCACTGCCACACACGGCGTCGACCGGGCAGATTCCCACGTCGCAAGCGCCCGGGGGCGGCGCACTCGCTGGCCGACTCCCCCCGACCGCACGCCCCAGCCCCCAGCCCTGGACCTCTTCCCCCTCCGTTCCGGCGGCCTCCCCGGGCCCGGCCTCGCCGCGACCGGGTGGACTGGCGGCGAAGCGCATGAAGCCGGGCCTCAAGCTCTCCGATGTCACAGGGCCGCCCACTCCGGCTGCGGGGACTGATCAAAAGCCCGAGGAGCCGAGTCGCGAGTCTGCGTTCAGCAAGTATTCCGAATTTATCAACACGCAAGAAGGCACTTTGAACTTCAAGAACAAGGCCGTTCTACACGGTGGTGGTGTTGAGTTTTCGTCGGGCCACAGCTTCAAGATCTCTTTGGATGAGGTTGATCGCCTGGATGAGCTCGGCAAGGGCAATTATGGAACCGTTTACAAAGTCCGACACAGTCGCCCACATCTCCGCAAGCCAGGACAGGGCCTGGGTGGCATTGTGAGCCGGACGGCTGAGGACGGGAGTCCAGAGGCCGGGCCCAACCAGTTGTCAGGCGTGGTCATGGCCATGAAGGAAATTCGCCTGGAGCTGGACGAGGCCAAATTTGCACAAATTATCATGGAGCTAGACATTCTACACCGCTGTCTCTCTCCCTTTATCATCGACTTTTACGGCGCATTCTTCCAGGAAGGTGCGGTCTACATGTGCGTCGAGTTCATGGATGGCGGCTCGATCGACAAACTTTACGAGGGTGGTGTCTCTGAGAACATTTTGCGGAAGGTCACCCTCTCCACTATCATGGGATTGAAATCATTGAAGGACGATCACAACATTATTCATCGCGATGTGAAGCCCACGAATATTCTCGTCAACAGCAAGGGCCAGATCAAGATTTGCGACTTTGGTGTCAGTGGCAACCTCGTTTCCAGCATCGCCAAAACGAACATTGGTTGTCAGAGTTACATGGCCCCCGAGAGAATCGCGGGAGGTGGCATGCAGCAGTCCGGAGCGCCGAGCGCTGGAACATACAGTGTACAAAGTGACATTTGGAGTCTGGGATTGTCTGTCATTGAATGTGCCATGGGCCGATACCCATACCCCCCAGAAACCTTCAACAACATCTTCAGCCAGCTTCATGTGAGGACCTCGCACTTTGCCCTGTGATTATACTAACCTTCAATACAGGCCATCGTTCATGGAGATCCCCCCACATTGCCTGCCGAAGGCTACTCCGAAGAAGCCCACGCCTTCGTCCGGGCCTGTCTCGACAAGAACCCGAAAAACCGACCTTCCTACGACATGCTCCTTCGACACGCTTGGCTCGCACCCCTCATGCAGCCACCGACCGAGTCAGGTGAAGACGCCCCGCCGGAGGATTCCGACTCCGGAGATGCCGCCTCATCCGCGATCACCGAAGACAAAGAGGTTGCTGAGTGGGTGCAAAGGCAAATCAAGCTCCGGGAAGAAGGCACCCTCCATATCTCCGAGAAACCAGCCCTCCATGCTGTCGCGCTGGACCAGGTCGGCACCCCCACCGAAGCTGATGCCCCAGCTCCGCAAGATGACTGAGCTCGCCATCCGAGCATTCCGACTCTTGCATCCCCTCCTATTTTCTCCGACACTTTCTACGGCGCAGGCGCCGTTCAGGACGTTTGGCATACCGTTGGATTCGTCCATGCGCCGCTCCCGGCTGAACCTGGAGCTCTGCGCTGTCGCGGCTATGTAAACCGTGTAGTGTGATCATATTTCGACAATTTCCTTTTGGACATGTGTATGGATTTCCATTGGCTGCCTGCTGCGCCCGATCTTCATACTACACCCGTGGACACTCATACACATCATTTACTTTGTATCAACCTACATTTGGACTTTCTGCATTCTCGGGTTCTTGTAAGCATATCGGAGGTACATGCATTCTACAGACTCGCATTGAGTCTTCCAAGGTTTCAAATCTCACAATTTCATATACATGGATTCCCGTCTCCTAAAAGTAAATGTTGAATATGTACTCCGTACTAGCCACCAAGGTTGAAAGTGAACGCCTAAACTGCCCAGGTGAAACACACTAAGCCTGACCCCAAACCTCATCCGCAATCTCCCTAACCAGACTCATCTTCTTCTTCTGATGCTCCACAAGAAGAGGATACCCGCTCTCATGAGTACTGAATCCACACTGAGGACTCACACAGACTCTCTTCAAAGCCTCCTCCCGACTCTCACCAGACCCCTGCGCCACAAAGTCCGCAGCCTTGAAGATCCGCTCCTTCACAGCCTCCTTGTCCTCCATCTCCCGCAACTTCGTACTAATCACACCAACCACCACATTCTTATCCTTCGGCAAGAACCGCAGCGGCTCGAACCCTCCCGCCCGCTCGGTATCATACTCCAAATAGAACGTGTTGACATTCAAATCCTCAAACAGCTTCTTCGCAATAACATCGTACGACCCCTCGGAGAAGTGTCGCCCACCAATGAAATTGCCCCGGCACAGATGAATCCCCGTATGTAAATCCTCAGGCAACCCAGCCAGCGAATCATTATATAACTTGATATACGCATCAAGCAAATCATCCACTGTGCCCGTGTTACTGGCATCTTCTGCCCACCCTTGTCTGAAGGCCTGGGAGCAGAAATACGCCATACCGGGATCATCGAACTGCACGTTCCGCAGGCCCGCCGCGTACAGTGCCCGAAGCTCGGAGTTGTACACCTTCGCCACGTCCGCGAAGTACTCGGCGTCATTGCTGTAGGCTTCGGGCGTATAGGCGTGTCCTTGCTTATAGCGCATGTGGAACCAGGCCGGCGTGATCATGGTCAATTTGATATTGTGCCATTCGGACTCTGGGAGAGAGGCTTGGACGAGCTTGAGCTCGTGCAGGTTCGATGGTGTCGCGGCGCTGTGGCTGAGCTTTTGGCCGGCGATGACGGAGTCGCCGGGCATGACTTTGCGGTCTTTTTCAATTAGACTGACTACGTCTGGGTGGTAGAGGCGGAACATGGATGCCTCGGCGTCTTGGAGACGAATTGTTCCTGGTTGCGTTAGTCGGGGGTTCTGGTTGTGGGAATTCGGTGCTGGCTTACCATTGAACTCATCCCACATCAGTCCCCAGAATCGAGTACGGTTGTACTCGCCTGAGGTGACGGCTTTGAAGCCGAGGTCTTGTTGCATCTTGACGACTTCGCGGACGGCTTCTTGCTCGACGGCGGGGAGGCCGGCTTCGGCTTCGGAGATCCCGGTTTGAGCGATCTTCTCGCGGATCGCGAGGAGGTTGTCTGGGCGCAGGAGAGAGCCCATCTGCTCTGCGCGGAAGGGGGGTGCGCTGTGTAGCTTCATGTTTGCTTGAACTGTGTACTGGACTGCAAGTAATTGAGAGGCAATTGAGAGGCAATTGAGGGGGGAGAATCTCCGATATCGTTCAAGCTTCTCCATGTGGGGTTCGTGGGGCTGAATGTGGTGCAGATGGGGCTCTGCTACATGAGGATGACTAGAACTGCAGTACTATACTACTAGTACAGTAGGACTACAGATTCTATACGAGCACACAAGCACTGCCAACGACAGGGCACATCGCAGCTCTTCAATTCGAAATCAACGTTGATGACGAAGGCCGCACTCCTAGCCCCACATATCGGAGTGATGAGTCGGGAAGACCTTTATATCGTAACCTACTACGGAGTAGTAAGGTTGATATCAAATCATAGATATAAACTAATTATCTAGTACTATTCACATCGATTAGAATTCCTACCGCAGAGTCACAAGCTCCTCAGCACTGGTAGGGTGAATGGCAACACAGCTATCAAAGTCCTGCTTAGTAGCACCCATCTTGACAGCAACGCCGAAGCCCTGCAGCATCTCGCCAACGCCAAGACCAAGAATGTGCAGACCAACAACCTTCTCCTGGGGACCGGCACAGATGAGCTTCATCTCAGTGGGGTTCTTGGCCTTCTCCTCGGGAGACAGGCCCACGTCGTAGAACATGGCAGTGAACTTGGTGTGGTAGACCTTGATCTTGTCATCGCCGTAGCGCTGGCGGGCTTCGGGCTCGGTGAGACCCACGCAGCCAACTTCGGGGTGGGAGAACACGACAGTGGGGATGTTTTCGTAGGAGAGCTTGGAGTGCTTCAGCTCGGGGGGACCGAAGAGACGGCTGCCCAGTTGACGACCGGCGGCAATGGCAACTACTCATGTGTTAGTGATTGAAAGGGGAATAGGGAGGATGGACGGCTTACCGGGAGTGAGCTCGGCTTGGCCAGTCATGTCACCAAGAGCGTAAACACCCTCGACGTTGGTGTTTTGGTACTCATCGACCACGACGTGGCCGCCGGCATTCAGCTTCACGCCGGGGATGTCCAGGTTCAAGTCCTCAACCTCGGGGGCACGGCCAACAGCCCAGAGGAGCTCGTTAACTTCCATCTCGGAACCATCGTGGCCAATAAGCTTGAGCAGGCGGTCCTTGCCCTTGCCATCGCGGATAAGTTGCACCTCCTTGAAACCAGTGTGGTTCTTGTGGAGGGTGACACCGGCGGCATCGTAACGATCGGTCATGGTCTTCTGGATCATAGGATCGAACTTGCGGAGGAAGTTCTCACCACGAATGAACATATGGGTATCAACGTCAAGGGCATTCAAGACACCGGCAATCTCAACGGCAATGTAGCCAGCACCAACAACGGCAATCTTAGGAGGCAACTCCTCCATAGCGAAGAAGCCGTCGCTGGTGATACCGTGCTCGGCACCGGGGACGGAAGGAAGGCTGGGGCGGCCACCGGTAGCCAGCAGAATGTGCGGCGCAGTGTAGCGGACAGTGCCGGAGCCATCGGCCAGCTTGACCTCGATGACCTTGGGCTCGACGAACCCAGCGCGACCCTGCACGAGGTCGATTCCTTCGCGGCCCCAGTTGCGCTCGTAGGCACCGTTGAGACGCTTGATGACGGCGTCACGGGTGTTCTTAAAGTGGGTGTAGTCAAACTTGACCTTTTCGGGGATCTCGTAACCGTAGTGCTTGCCAATCTCGAGGGTCTCGTTGATGGTCGCGAAGTTCCAGGTCATCTTCTTGGGAACACAGCTAGGGGCGAGGTGTTAATATTTTTGGTCCGCACAACAGAGAATGTATCACTCACCCAACGTTCACACAAGTACCGCCGGAGCGTCCGCTCTCGACAATCAAGGTCTTCTTGCCATACCAGCCAGCGGCGCGGCGGGCGCTACCACTGCCACCGCTACCACCGCCAATGACGATGTAGTCATACTGTTGTGTCTCCACGGGTGCCATGTTGGATGATTGCTTGTTTGAGGAGGCTGACGAGGTAAAGTGACGAGAGATGGTCGACAGTCGAGAGCTGGGGGCAATTGAGTCCGTTGTTCGAGGAGTGTTAATTGTCGCCAGAGTTCGATTCGCGGTCAGACGACCAATTCCGATAGCAGACCGGAGGGTAGAGGCTCGAAGAATACGAGATGACTGGAGGGAGCGGGAGAGCATGGAGGGGTAAAGTAATTATGTACAGCTGTGAGCGGGGACGGAAAAGGAATATGGTGACGATATCGGGCTTTGATAATGCGCATTCTGCCGGTCCAGTCAGGTGGGTCACGATTCCTCAGCAGATTACGTGATCTACGCCGAGGTCTGTTCTAGATTCAATGTTGACAAAGCTGGGATTATGTGATTTGGTCTTGAATGGGGTATAAGTCAGTCTTGAATGGGGTATAAGTAAGTCTTGAATTGGGGTATAAGTCTTGAATTGGAGTATAGGTGATTCTTGAATTGGGGTATAAGGAAATATAAGGAGTGCTTGGCATGGCCAGCATGCCGTGATGGCCAGGATATAGTTGAAAAGAAAGAGACTCAGGGTTGAGCGCCTGATGTGGAGAAAGAAATGTTGAATGGTGTTGAATCAAGACAGCCAAACAGTTGCAAAACATTCACTCGAGGAATGATTGCTGCTCATGTCAAGTGGGTAGAACAATGCATAAACAAGCAGAGATCATGCCGAGTGGCGGAAGCCACTGGGAAGATCATGAGATTCATGGTCTTTGTCTGCTCACACCAAGCTGAAATGTGGTGGCAGACAGACAGTCTTGGCAGAGCCTAAAACATATCATAGAAGTCCAACTTGGAAGTCCCTTCATCGTAGGGACGAGTAGTTGGTCATAGATGTGGGGTCAACAACGTTCTGGAAGGCTGAGGGGGCGGCGATTTGAGAGTTCGGTGGTGTATACAGAAGACTCTTGCATCCTTGATGGGAGATGACACTCTGGTGTCTCTGCTCGTGTGGAGGCTTGTCTGCATCGTCTGTGGCGGGGATTGCCTTTCGGTGTTTTGCCTTCGGTGATTGAAAGAGGTGGGGTTTGGGGCTAGGCTCGTGTTCAAGGTGACCGGGGAATGGAGTTAAAGGGTGGTTGATTTCCAGGGGATTCTGCACCACAAACGCCAGGGCCATACTCAGATGGAGGGTCGTTTGCGATAGTGCTATCGTGGCGACTAGTGGGTATAGGCGATCACGGCGAAGGAGATCAGGCAGAAGCACAGAGGGATGTAGACAGAGCGCTCCATGTCGACCTGGGACGAGTTGGATTTCATTTCCAAGATATGTAGATGCAGTAGATGTATAGATGTAGTGTAGATGTAGTGTAGAGAGAGGGGTATAGAGTCGCTGAGCGGTGAACAGGTGATCTTATCTGCTGAGTAACAGCGTTGGGCTCAACAAAACATCACCTGACCCACTGTTACTCGGGCTACGAGTCCCTACACTATTGGAGACGAATTCTGATTTTCAGTCTACTCTTTACTAGTATGTAGGTATACTAATCCTGACTATAAGCCCAAGACTAATGTTGTGTAGACAAGTGGGCTTACTCCATCTGCCCACGTGGTACCTGCATCCTCGTGAGCCCTAAGTCTGTACAGGACTAGTGCACTATGCAGGACTATCGTGAAGATGAGCAGGAATACAGTAGTATAAGCGGGGTACGTCTCAGCATATGTTCGGTTCAACGCCTAAGGCAACAGGTGCTCGCCCATCCCTTGATGGCACTGCCTTCAAGGGTTGGACTCATGGGCAAGGACATGACCTCAGCAGGGATATACAGTGAATATGCTATCCCTGGCTACGGCCTTGATCCAAACCTTCCAAACAGACAGACCAGTCCCTATCGGCTGTGAGCCCCAGCCCTCATCCTCCACATTCATACAAAACGAGGAATGCAAGGAGAGAGCAACACCCCCATCCAACCAATCAAAACCACATCACCAGCCCTCATACCGGGTGAATCAGCAATGAAAACAATTGCCAGGCTGGCCAGCCTATGAAGCAAGGCACCGGCCATTGAATTCGCCGTGTAGTCCTGTTTCATTAGACTCGGTTGGAAGTAAACACCCCTAGTCTCAGCACGACCAATATCCCCGAGCGCATCGCTTTCAACTATCCAACACCACACTCCTTTCACACCATCGCCAAAATGCGTCTATCAGCCCTCGTCTTCGCCGCCGCTCTGTCCATGGTCTCGGCCAAAAAGATCAACATGCACTGCGAGTTCGCCGCTGACAACACCGGCATGGTTCAGTCGCCCTTCTGCTGTCGCGACATGGCGCCCGCGCGCGGAAACTCCAAGGCGAACGAGGCGATGGATTGTATGTTTTGCATCATGCCCTGGGTTGGTACCCTGCTAATCAGTTTGACTTCTAGGCGATGCCCTTGACGTGCCTCAGATGTGCGAGGATCAGTCGCGGCCAGCATGCTGTTACCCCATTGTGAGTCAATTGGATCATCAGGATTGATTCGCTTTTGCTTACATGTCGTTTTCGTCTAGGGCCCCAAGAAGATCTGTACCTCTCACGTTGTCTTCATGGATGCGGCGGATATCTAGGCTAGTCCTTTTGGAAGGGATAGATGCTCTGCTGAATACATTTCATGCCAATGTTAGAAATGAATCCCACTGAGGCTGTTGTTATGATCTGTTTAAATATCGGACATCCATTGACCAATACATACATGAACACTCAAAAGAAGACTCGCATGCCTTCTTTTTCGGCTGTCCTATTGGTATCTCCGAATGGTGCCATGGCTTTTTTGTCAAGTATCCCCAATTGCATTCAATACCTAGGTATCTACATCTTTCAAGGATCACCCATGAGTATCACGTATTTTACGACAGACGATGAGATAAATTATCAGAAACGGTGTATAAAATTGAAGAATCGTGAATCATTAGTGCAACAGCGAGCGCTAGATAGAAAATGCAGCTCCGGAGGCAGGGATGCAGGTAATAATATGCATGTCGCAACAAACAAAGGACAATCATTCCGAAACCACTCCAAGCATTTCCTCAGTATTTCTGCGGAACAACCGCTCCGCTAATCCCGGCTTAGACGAACACAGGTCCAAGCAGCACTCCGTAAAAGGGCTGATATCCACGTCGGAGAACCGGGTGTGTGGCCAATCGGTGGCATAGATCACACGGCTAGGAGCAGCAGCCAGGAACTCCCGGGCCATGGCCTTCAAGTCACGCATCTGGTGATCTTTGCTAAGTCTGTACGGTGCAGATACTTTCACGTAAGTGCCGCCAGCGCGGAGCAAAGTTATCAGAGATGAAAAGCCTTCGAGGTCGTAAGGGTCGAACGGGGCTTTGGGGTCTGTGGAGGCCAGCTCGGGACTGCCGAAGTGATCGATGCAGATGCGTACACCGAGCTGTGGGAGGATAGTCTCGATCATAGAGACCATCTTCAGAGGGAGGTAGATTTCAATAATCCAATTATATGGCCGGGCGATCTCAGCATGCCGGAGCAATGTGGCTTCAAGCTCGGCCTGGTCCATGACTTTGCCGACGGACTGGAGATTGACCCGCAGTCCACGGACGCCGAGGCAGTGCCATTCATCCAATGTCTCTTGCTGCACGGTATCTGGGTCGACGACGACGATGCCTCTGCCGCGGGAGGGGCCGAGGTTCTTCAGTGCAGCGAGTAAACAGGAGTTATCGGCTCCATATATCGATGGTTGCACAAGCACTAAGTTCTCAACGCCCAGCCCGGACTCAAAGGCCAGGGCTTCGGCGAGGGTATGCGGGGTGGGCTTGTACACCGCTGCTGGGGACACGGGGAACCGCTCAGGTTCCATGACATGCATGTGACTATCCCAGGACCTTGGGGGGAGTCTCTGCTTTAATGAAATGCTTGGAGGGCTGCTATGGCTTGAACGCCGGGCCTCCAGGCGTGTCGAGAGAACATTGAATGATATAGATGGGGCCCCGTGGAGTACCGTGGTAGGCTGGGTGGCGGTCAGCATTCTGAAGTGTATACAGACTGCAGGCCCGGATATATGCGAAAAGAGGGTGTTTTGAAGAGTGGATAGCGAGTCAAGGGGGGAGAGAAGTAAAAGGATTGAAGCCCTAGGAAATACTCACAGAGTAGTACCAGAAGGTCCCGGGGAGAGTGACCCTTTGCCCACAGCGGAGCATTTTCATTCCCAGTTCGTCGGCCAACGTCCGTATCAATTCACATTTCCTTCAAATCCCTGCCTTGCAGGATTTTTTGCACTTAAACCGCAGTCGGCAGTCTCCGAGCAGGACAGCAAATATAACACGACTCCACTGCCTCGGCACCCTCTGGATGCAGTAAGGGAAAGTCAAATCAATTGATGGAGCACGGAAGTCGTCCGTGAGGGAGTCCATATAAATTGAAGAACCCGCCATTGGGGCACGATGAACAGGCGAGCCGTCAAGCGGAGCCCAAAGTGGATAAGTCGGGAGGGTCCGACATTGAAGCAGTGCGCGTAAGACGTGCAGGTCCGGGGCAGTGAGAGAAATGGAATGTACTATAGTGCAGAAGTACAAACGAGATGCGCTCAAGCCTCTGTCTATCACAGAGGTCCGAGGGAGAGAGGAGAAGCAGAAGTGGGAAAGCTCGGACGTTGACCGAGAGGACAAACTCTTTTAGGGCGGGATGCCGACCCAGACATCTCTCCCTTTGCCGACTCTATCTCCGACAACTTCCCCAGATCTCACGCTCCACAGTTCGCTTACGATCATGCGATGGGACTCATCTCGCTGGTCCACCAATCCCTATTATGCCCTGGTGATTACGGTCATAGCGTGTGGTGGTATTCCCAAGGGTATGGTTCTTAATTCCCAGTACACCCTGGTCGCTGACACGGCTACTTGCAGGGTACGATGAGGGTGGCTATAGCGGCAGCGTGTCGCTCCCCGCATTCAAGGCGGATTTCAACCTGGACCCGTCACATTGGGAGAATAACGCCACAGGGCTAGCCAATCGGAAGGCCAACATCACCTCCTTCAACGTGCTCGGGGCTGCGATCGGGGCTCTCATCGTCCTGGATCTCAATGACAGATTCGGACGCCTGTTGGCCTGGCGCATCGCGTGCATCGTGTGGGGGGTGGGCACTCTGATCCAGATCTTCGCCTCCGGGATTTACGGGCTGCTGCTCTTTAGTCGGATATTTGGAGGACTAGGGGCCGGCGCGCTCACCGTCACCGCACCCCTGTATCTGAGTGAGATAGCCCCGGCGAAAACACGAGGTCTGGTGGTAGGGTTGTACATGGTTCTTTTACTGGCCTTCTTGACAACTGGTGAGCTCTGACCCCTGTCCGAAATCACACCTTAGCCTCATTCTGACTAGCTTCATCGCGATCCGACAGGTTTTTTCGTCAATTATGGCGCCAGAACTCATATGGCGGTCGACCGGACCCAATACCGCCTAGTCCAGGCGGTGCCGTTGATTCCAACGGGGATCGCGTTCATCCTGTCGTACTTTTGTCCGGAAACTCCCCGATACCTGGTCTCAAAGCAGCTTCACAGCGAAGGCCTGAATGCGCTAGCGCGCTTGCGCGGAAAGCCTCACAATGATCCCGACCTGGTGGCTGAATTTGAGACTATTGACGCGCAAGTGCGTGAGCGCTCGACGGACCTTGCGTCCGTGTCGCATTGGGCGATGTTCAAGGAGACCCAAACCAACCCAAATTATCGCCAGCGCTTTTGGCTGATCATGACCATGCAGACCATCGGTCAGTGGACCGGTGGCAATGGTATCACATACTATGTGACCAGCATTTTCCAGGTATGCCAGCTCGAGCGAGACAATGATAACATATTATTTGTCTTCCTTTTCTTTTCTTTCCTTTCCCCCCCTTTTTTGACAAAGAATGCCATGCTAACGTGGGTTACAGTACGCCGGTCTGACAGGCGATGCCGAATCCCTCGTCGGCTCAGGCGCCTACGGAGTCGTGAAGTTAGTCTTCACCATGGCCTTCACATGGGGACTAATTGATCTACTTGGCCGACGACGCTGCACCATAGCCGGGCTCTCTCTCCAACTAGCAGCACACATCTACATGGGCATCTACATGGGTCTGCAGCCCGGCTCGGCAGATAATCATAATGCGTCAAACGCAGCCATTGCCTCGGTCTTCATCTATGCCACCGGCTGGTCAATCGGACTCTGCACAGTCCCGTACCTATACGGCACGGAGATCTTCCCCACGCGCATCCGAAACGTCAGCTACGCCAGTAGTATGTCGCTGCATTGGTTCTTCCAATTTGCCGTCGTGCGCGTAACACCCAACATGTTCGTTTCCTTGCATGTCTGGGGCGCTTATCTCTTCTGGGCACTGATTTGCTTCCTCGGACTGATCATCCTGGGCGTTTGGATGCCGGAGACTAAGGGCGTGCCTATTGAACAGATGGGTGATCTGTTTGATGGGCCGTGGTACTTGCGTTGGAACGCAAAGCCCAAAATTCGTGTTGAGGTCCCGACACCCGTGGAAGACACGGTTTCGTCTAAGGATGATCACACACACAAGGCTCACGATTAGCCTATGAAGCCGCTCGGGCGATATTTGGCTCTGTGTATCATGGGCATTCCAAGTTTCTGTTTGCATATGCTGTGACATATTCATCACTTGATACCCTCATAATCTGTCATATTTGGCATGCTCATGATCTGTACAATCTCAACTCAGTAAATACTTGGCCTTCGATTATATATTTCTAATTACAATAACCTTCCCGAGGTCACCTTCCAAGTTGGAAGGTTGCCAGCGAGACGAATGTCATATCAAACACTGAAGTAGATTACTTCAAACTTTTCTTCTAAAATCTAGAAACGCTAGAGCTATATATTCCGTAATCATAAGGACAATTCTAAGTCTTGTCAAAGCAATAACCTTGCAGAACCCCGGCTGAATATATCGACAAGGTCAATGAGCGGGTCGACCCCAACCCTGCTCATATGCAGGTGTCATATTGGCCGGGATAGGCTGCGCATATGAGAATGCCTCATATACATCAGGTGTGATCTCATAAGATCCAGGATCATCCATCGTCATAACGGCGTTGGGCATCCCACCCAGTAGATGGGTGGGTGGCATCTGAGGCAGCTCGGCGGAGTGGGCAACGTTGAAAACCCCCCCAGGGTGTTGGAAGTTGTTGTAACCCTGCATCAAGGGCGGGTTTTCAGGCGCTGAGCCTTGGGCATGAGCTGCCATTGATGCTGGGACTTGGCGGTGGTGCTGACCTGGCGAGACGTGGCGGGATTGATTGCTGCCGACTGAGGGTGACTGGCTGTGGCGAGGCTGTTGATGTTGTGTTTGAGGGTTTTGGTGGTGCTGGGGATGGTGTTCTTGGGTAGGTTCAGGGTGAGCGGACATTGGGATGTGGATGTTGATTTGTAGTTTTTGGAGTTCCAGAGAGATGAGATTGAGTACAGTTGTAACGACTGGGTTGGCGGTTTTGACTCTCTCCAGTGCGAATATGCAGAACTTGAGTTTGTCTAGTGTGCCTGGTGCGGCATACTTCAAGGCTTGGATCTCAAGAAGGAAAATCGATGATGCCGTGTAGATGCTGTATGCCAGGGATAGAACAACATGACTGTCGCCGAAGGTACGGCGGTAAAGGTCGAAGAGTGAAAGAATTGATGTTGCGGATGTCATGCATTGCACCAAATGGCTTGAATCGTATGCGTCAGGTCGAGTTTTGAGAAGCTCTCGAGAGCAAAGGATCGGCCGATGAAGGAGGATGTTGATTGTGTGATATAGACAGCTATTGCAACGTTAGCACGGCAGTTGAGCCAAGAATGGGCGGGTACAAACTTCAAAATTACGATATGACTCGGGGGTGAGTACGGCGGAAGGCTTAATGCCGTCAACTTCAAGAAGTCTGGCAGGTCATCCCACCAATCGCTGAGAGCCTTGCCCTGTTCTTGAACGCAATCGTAGAACTCAGAGTCCGTACTCCGACGGATCGGGTCGTAGATGTGTATTAAAATCTGGTTGAGGATTTCTGCCAGGCCGCACATCTTCATGAAGCATGACGTCGAATGCGCCTGTGTGGGCGGGTAGTGAGCACCGTCCGGGAAGGTCACGCCATGGGGCGTCCAAGGCTCAATCTCAGCTGTGTCATCGAGAATCATGCGTGGTGGACTGACACGGGAGTGCTGCATTGTCGGTGCCCGGCCAAAGTAGAGCGAAACCACTTTGTCCCAGAAGTAGCAACTCCAGAAGAGACGATTGCGTATTTCGATATCCTCATCGCTCAGGTGTGCTGACCCAGAGTATTTGCGGCTATCAATGGAGATTCCCAGGTCATCTAACAGCCTGAATGCCATGCCACTGTATAGCCATGCTTGTGTTCGGTTTCCACGGCCGCATTCTTGTGCGCTGAGCAAAAGTAACGTCTGGATAGTAGGAATTCCAGCGTATCCAACTTTGAGAGATTCAAATACACCGGTCAATGCCCGGTGAGAGAATTGTGCTCCGCCATCATAAGAATCCAACAAAAGACCAATCTGCGGTTCCGCTTTGCACCATCGTACGGAGTGGGAGAGGATGGCGTTTAATAAGACGTCCGAGTAATACGTTCCGTGGATCTTCATATCACCTGTTAGGTTCATTAGTATTTGCGTTGCAGGTTGGAGTGAGAGCGGAACATACGCGTGAACGCAGGTCGGTAGACGAAATTCCAAAGCGGTTGGATCCAGCACCAGTGAGAGTCGAGCAGGTATTGGAACGGTTCCTGTAAAGAGAGAGGTGAGCACTCGTGAACATCAGGTCATCCAATCAAAAAGCCATCACGTACTGGCATAGCGGCCATCTGCTCGAATGCTCGCTCCCGCCATGCATTGTTAATGAGCCGCTCCTTGCGACCTTCGACTTCCTGCGCGTAGTGTGATTTGGAAGTTGAATCACTGCCTACCCCACTCGGCAGATGGAACAAACTAGTCGGTCCATGGAAGGACACGCGACCGTCATTTTCGACATTTAAACCATCGAATTCGCGGGCGAGATCATCGGTTTCCTCGATCTTGATTCGGGGGCCGGCGCTCGAGCTAGATTCGGCTACCGATGACGGGGTGCTTGCTTTTCGGAGGTCCACGTCACCATCCGAACGGACTTTGGATAACGCATCTTCCAACTGGGCGACTCTCGCTTCCAGCTGCTTGGTGTAGGATAAAGTTGGGGCTCTTCGGGGAGGATTAGCGGGGCCACTGAGGGGACTGAGGGGGAACCGGGGCGAGACTCACAAGCTGTACACGCACAGCTCACCTCTTGTAGCACAACGTGAACATGACGGACTGGCTCCGTTACATTTAACCTGCCGAGATTCGACGAGTCAGCTCGGCAATCTCGGGCGTCATCCGAGGGGATCCGCGCGCACCTTGCGTTTGCGACAAGCCTCGCACGAGAAGGCGCTTTTTCTGGGGAGTGTGGGCTTAGGCTCGGCCATTCCAGTCGGAAAAGTAGCAACAAGTCTCCATAGAAGAAGAAGAAGAAGAGGATAAAAATAGGAATAAGAATAAGAATAGGAGAGAAGATTTTTGGCCCCAAGAATGCGTGGGGCTATGATCGCGGGGATTAGCCTTCTGAAACGGGTGAGGGTAGAATTGACATCGAATCAGCCGAATTCAGCTTGTTGAATCCTCTGGAAGGCTGGGCCTCTGCCCGACCCAGTTTGCGACCCAGCTGTCGAAGGGGAAATCGTAACGACTAGCCAATGAAGACGATGATGGGCAGGAGATCATTGGCTGCTAGAGGACGGGATTTGCTGATCTTGGCAGAATTCTCCATCGGCTCCACCGCCACCCATATAAAGTTGTACTTCGTGACGAGGCCTTACTCTTCATTCTTACTGTATACGAGTCGAAGATCAAAAACGAGTAGATCATTGGCTATTTGCATGGTATTCACTTGTATACAGACTCATTTCTTGCCCTTGCCCTTCGGCTTGGGCTTGCCACCCTTGCCCTTGGGTGTCTTCGCATTATCGGCATCGCCCTTGCCCTTCTTCCACCCAATGTTGCCCTCGTGACGCTCATTCGCATCGTCCAGGCGCTTCTTGTCCTTGTTGCTGAGCTTGACATTGTTCTTCTTGACATTAGGTCCGTTCAGCTCCACAGCACCCAGCTTGCGAGCAACCTTCTTGTCCTTCTCAGTCTCGAACCAGGTGCGCTTCGGCCGCGACATGATCTCGTGGCCGTGCTTCATCAGGTTCTCACCCTTGGTGAACTGCATCTCAGCCTGGGAGAATTGCTTCTCGGTCTTCTCCTCCTGCAGGACCTCGGCCACTTCATCGGCCAGATCCTCGGCCTTTTGGGCCCAGCTATCGGCAACAGCCTGCTCGATGACACGGCTGGCAATCTTGGCACCTTGGGCTTTACCAGCCTTGACGGCGAGCTTGACGACCTTGCGGTCAGGCTCGGCGGCAATGGTACAGGCACGACCAGAACGACCGGCACGGGCTGTACGACCGACACGGTGCAGGTAGATCTCATGGCTCTGCGGAGCTTCGTAGTTAATGACGGTTTCGACACCCTTGATATCCAGACCACGGGACGCGACATCGGTGGCCAGGAGGAAGGCGACCTTGCCGTCTCGGAAGTTTTCAACGGATTTGATACGCTAAGAACAGCTGTTAGCACATTTCACATTAGACAAGCATGGTTATATCGTACCTGTTCTTGGCTCAGACTACCGTGGAGCTCTGCTGCCTTCAAGCCCAATAGACCAAAGATGATTCGGATACGGTGAGCTTCCTTCTTTTGTCGGAAGAAGATAATGACACGCTTTGTGTAGACATCCTTGCACAGATGCAGGAGGTATCCAAGACGCTTGTCCTCACGCCCGGGGCGAAGACGAACGAATTCTTGCACAAGGGTCGATACAGTGTTCTTCTTAGCATCAACCATCAACCGCATGGGGCGGTTCATGCCAACGCGAATAAGTTTGTCAATTGAATCAGTCATCGTAGCGGAGAACAGCATGGTCTGGCGGTTCTTGGGAATAGTTGTAAGAATCTCGTTCAACTCGTCGGCGAAACCATCCTCGAGCATGCGATCGGCTTCATCAAGAACAAGAATCTCCAGGGTATCAACGGTAAAGCTGGGCGAGTTGCGCATGTGGTCGATGAAACGACCAGGGGTGGCAATGATGACATCGGGGCGCTTCTTGAGAACGTTCTCCTGCTCACGCAGACTGAAACCACCAACAAGTTGACAGAATGTGACATCTGTGAAAGTTGCCAGCTTGACGGCAACGTTGTAACACTGAACGGCCAACTCACGAGTGGGCATCAGGATAACGACACGACTAGTGGGTGTCTTGCGGGGACGGAAGAGGAGACGTTCCAGAATGGGAACAACGAAGGCTGCAGTCTTTCCGGAACCTGTCACGGCACTACCGACGATATCCTTGCCCAGCAGGGCGACGGGGACGGCCTTGCGCTGGATAGGTGTTGGGTCTGTGAATCCAACGGCAGCCAAACCTCGAAGAATGGGACGCGAGAGGTTGAACTCTTGGAAAGTCATCTTAGCCAAGTTGGCCTTAGTATCGGTCTTCTCCTCGGGGGCGAAGAAGGCCTTGCGCTTCTCGGCCTCCTCTTCGTCCACCTCGCTCTCGACGTCGGATCCTGCGTCAGATCCATGGTCGTCGGGGTGACCAACGGGGGTAGCGACAGAGTCGTTATCAGATGCGGCATCGTCATCGGAGTCCTCTTCGCCATCCTCGGCTTCATCCGCAGAGTCCTCGTCTCCAGAGCCAGGTTCTGGGCCCTCGGCCTCGCTGGCCTCACTCTCTTCTGCGCCCTCCGCGCCCATGCCGAATGCGTCATCGGCCATGAGCTCATCATCCTCGAAGTCCACAGGCATATCGTCGCCAGATGCGGCGTCGTCCTCGGATGCGCTCTCCTCTTGAGCGGCCTTCTTCTTCTGCTTCTTGGCAGCAGCCTCTGCCTTCTTCGCCTGTCTCCGCTCAATGATCTCGTCGATGTCAACAGCCTTCTTGTCACCCGAGCGCTTCTCTTCATTGCCATCAAGACCCCAACCGTCGAAGCCTTCGGTGACACCACGGTTGGTTGCGCCGGCAACATCGAACTCGAACTCGGGGTTCAGGACGCCATCGTCCTCTGTCGCATCCGCAGTAGCAGCTTCGTCCTGCTCGTCCTCCTCTTCGGATTCGGGCTCGGGCTCGGGCTGGGCATTCTTCTTATTCTTTTTGGCGTTCTTCAATTGCTGCTTTTCTTGCTGCTTCTGCTTCTTGTTCTTGGGCTTGGGGGTATCGACTTCGCGCTTGCGTTTCTTGTTCTCTGCCGGAGCATCTCGCATCTCATTGTCGTCATCTTCTTCGAAACGAGGCTCATTCTCGTCGTCAGAGAGCGTTAAGATGAAATCGTCGTCTTTGGCCATTTTGGAGGCTGGCGCGAAACGCTGGGTATTAATCGTAGGTAGTATGTTCTGCACTCTCTCGCGCACCCTTGACCAAAATTTCAAGGCCCCAGAAGACTTTCAAAGCGACTCAATTCCGTCGAGCAGAGATGGATCAACATGCAAAAAAAAGTCCCCCGGGCGGTGACAGGGAAATTTTTGGATGACATAAGCTGCCCGGAGACGGCCAGATTGGCGCCGAACCCATAGATCTTGTAAAGGCGATCCTAGGGCCTAATAGCTTGGAGAATCCATCTACGGTGCATCGTACGCTCTCAAGAAACATTCATATTCTGCCTAAGGACACGTATTGAAAATCCGAGTCTGCATTCCGACGTTCCAACCTACCACCAGGCCCGCAAAGCACATTCAATTGCTGGCCCACACCATGATTCCGCCTGTCTTCCTTCAATATCAATCTTTCCTCCTCCTGTCAGACTGGATGCACTCGACTAACTCAGATATTTCCCACGGCAAAATTGTCATTTGAGTGAGATCACTCGCACAGGTCGATCAACGGAGCACAGTCAACACGGGCTTCCTGGGGCTTGGGGACGAACTCCTTCATTTTGGGGTAATTGATTTGGTGAGCCAGGTAGCAGAGGTCGAACCTGAGAGATCCTGTGAGTTATTGGGGTCCGAAGGATGGCCAGGGGGTGCGTACGATTTTCCGAATTTGATCCTGGCGCCTCCAAATTCACTCTTTTCCTGGAAGCCAAAGTCCTTCTTCAACCAATCTTTCACCCAACCCTGTTCCTTGTTGGGTCCAGCGTGGTCTGCAACAACACAGAGCAAAGTGGTGGGCGACTCGCTGTAGCCCGGACCGTACTCCACACTTCCCATTCCTTTGAACTGATAGTCACCAGTCTTACCGGCAGTGGGATCAGTCTCAAAGCATGAGATGACCATGTGAACAAGAGCTCTTCCGATGTGTTGTTTCTTGTTCTCCTCACGGACGAAAACCTGCAACTCACCCATGGAAGCGTCGGCGCCATTGCTGGGGCGGTGGTACTTGACGTAGGCGAATCCAACAGCGCGATCAATCTGGTTGCTGTGGTATTTCCACTCGGGGCGCTGAGCGGCGACAACAAAAGGCAATTTCGCATTTCGGCAAAAAGCAAGCAACTTTTCGTATTCCGTCTCCCCCATGGAGCTGAGATCACCGCTGGCGAACGAGTTCTCCGTGTACCATTGCATAATCTTGCGGACCCGAGATGAATCATAATGTTCCGCTGGGCGCAGGTAGATGTTAGGGGGCACAACCTTCGAGCCAGGTGGCAGATTGAGCCATGCGCGGTGGGGTGCGCTGCGCCGCAGATATTCCTGCCTCTCCTCTTCGGCTTTGAGGCGCTTCTGGTTGGTAGGGCTCCAGTTGTAAGTGTAACCGCGGGAGGTCTCATGCCAATGAAGACTGGTTAGCTCGTCTTTCATGTTCCGGGGGGTTGGGAGATGCTTGAGGTTTGGCAGAAACATTTCGGATATTCCATCAGACACGGCGGTTCCATCAAAAAAGGCAGCCCGGAAGATGTTGACCACCTGTGGCTCATCCGGAAGCTGCTCAAACCAGTCAAAAAACTGCTTTCTAACAACTACGTTAGGAATGGAAATCGATGAAATCCTGTATCGGAGGTTAGAGTCCTCCCAAGCCTCGGTTGGGTCCAGAATGAGGTCAGGCTCGAAAGGAGTTGGCTTCGGGTTGTAGATGGACTCTTGGACCTCGGTGGTCAATGTTAGCTCGCCATCACGAACGATTGGATACGCGGGTTCGGAATCGTCGTAAGCTTTGGCTTGATCCTTGTACTCGCGGTTCCACTGCGACCTGAAAAGCTCATTGTCGATATTCAGCTTTGACCACACGGGCTTTGGCAGCCTTTCATCTCCATAGTCAGCGTCGGGGATCACATCTGGGGGCCCTGAATCGGCCCACGGCTCAGGTTTCTCGATTCCTGGAGACAACCGGGGCTTGGCGAGGAGCTGATAGATCCGGCATTCCAGTTCGGCTCCAGGTCCATTTCTAGCTTTGGGAAGCTTCTCGGGACAGGAGTAAAACTCGTCTTCCATTCCAGGATTCCACCTTTTCACAGGTGGGTTTGGGTTGAAGCGCACCCAGCGGCGGGCAATCACCTGCGTTTCCTCCCACGTCATCTCACCCAGGTTGAGAATCAATTCGTTGATTTCACTCTGGGTGAGAGTGGGTAAGGTCGAGGATGCCATGATCGCACGGGCTTTGGCCATTTTGGCTTCCTTGGAAATTGTTGGGTCTTTGAATTGATTCATGAATTCAACTCGCGCCTCGGGCTTGTCAGGGAAACGCTCGGGGGGCTCGCGTTCCGCCATTTTCGTATTCCTGCAATCCTGTCACACGAAATGATTAGTATGACTCTTCTGAGGGTCAACTGAGCAACTTGGAGTTATCCACGCAGAAGAGGGGCTGTGTGCAAGGTGCACCGAGTTCGACAGCCCGCTTCCGAAGGCCATCAAAGTAGGTGAAACAGAATCCATGGACTGGGCTTACTCGAAAAGGACTGCGTCAAGAAACACTGGATTGGGACTGTATGTGTCCGAAAATGAAAAGTGAGGAGGATCTAAGAGAAAGATGGAAAGACGAGAGGGGAGAGGGGGAGAGAGAGAGAGAGAGAGAGATGAAGAGAGGCCTGTACCATGTGCCCTCCCTTTGCCCTAACGACTTCCTTTGCTCCCACAGTCTAAGAGAAGGCAGATGTAATCTTGGACGGTCTTTCTACACTTTCAAGTGTTGTGTTCTGAACTATAGGCCCCAGAGCTATAAGAGCTGTATGAGCCTATTTTATAATATATCCCACTTTCAATAGACTCACCTGGACGACGAAGAAACATCAATCAGAACCCCCATATACTCAATGGATAAATACCTAGTTGTAGAATGCTGCCCAGGTGGTGATCATCCGAAAGTACGGAGTATAGTGTTGATCATAGGAGCCTCGGAATCCCACACCAATCTTCCTCTCCCAACCTCCCCGCAGATATCCACCATGCTGTCGATTTTGAGAAAGGCCCGCTTAAAGGATAAGGAGATGCGCATCTTGATGCTGTATGAACTCTCCCAGCCGGTCACGCCGAGATACTGACCACTGCAGCGGCCTTGATAATGCTGGCAAGACGACCATCGTGAAGCGCATCATGAACGAGGATGTCACAACTGTCAGCCCGACTCTGGGCTTTATTATCAAGACCATTGACTTCATGGGGTGAGTTGTCTGTCCTTCTGTTCGGGGCTCAGCTAACTGGACGCAGATATAAACTCAACATTTGTGAGCCCGAGTGGTCCGAACGCGCAATGTCCTACTAACCGTCACAGGGGACGTTGGTGGGCAAAAAACCCTACGTTCGTACTGGAAAAACTATTTCGAGAAGACCGACACCCTCGTCTGGGTAGTGGATGCTACAGATCGCCTCCGTGTCGATGATTGCCGACAGGAGCTCGCTGGGCTGCTGTTGGAAGAGGTGCGACCCCACCCGCAAATCTCGACGCCAACTGACTTCGCAGCGATTGATGGGCGCCACCCTCTTGGTCTTTCTAAATAAAACAGATGTGGAACACTGCATGAGCGAGCAGGAAGTTCGACAGGTATGTCTAGACCTGTGGTTTCTGTTTCCCGGTTGCGGACTTGACTGATTTTTCCAGCGCCTTGACTTGGATTCAATTAAAACACACAAATGGACTATTCTCCCATGCAGTGCTATGACAGGCACCAATCTGAATGAGGGACTCGAATGGGTGGTCCAAGATGCCAAAGACAGACTCTTCCTCTACTGAGGCTTTGATGATTCGGCCGCCAACCTTCGACCGGCCACGTCTGTACGCTATGAGTACGATCAGCCTAGAGGCTTTCACCCTTCTGATCGGCGCTCTTAACGACAGTATGATATACGGAGTACGCGCAGACGAATTCCCACTCGATATTCTCATAACAGCCATGTCGTGCATCTCGGTAACGGTGTAATCCCGGCCCCAGCAAGGACCACCGTTGCGACCAGATTGCAGAGGAACCAGCTCGTCTCCATCCGATAGGTCCGAGTCTGGCATAGATCACAACCTTACACGTTATAGCAATGAATGCCGACTACCTATGCTTTTCCGTTTCAAATACACCCCCTAGTCTATGCAAGGTATAAGTGATATGTCATTTTGGAGGACGACTGGAGGTTACGCAGTCTCTATTTGCACCGTACGACTCCGTAGACGGAGTACTAGTACTAGTAGTCCTCGCACTTCATGTTAGCGAAGCCCCCTGAGCAAAGTCGCGACTTGGACTGCGGGGCGGACAGCCGATCCACAACATAAACAAAGGTCCGTTTCAGCGTAGTGTGACAGAGTCCTGCAGCGTACAAGTGCTTAAGGTAATACACTAGAAGTACTAAACGTACTTACAGGATCTCGCCTATCAGAGCAAAGACAGATGGGATGGGAAAATTGTGCTGATCATCACGCCCCGATTTAATTTAAACAGGGCGGAGAACACAGCCCTTGGGGACTCTTCCACTTTGCAACTCCCCGTTTTCCGGTGTTTACACATCATGGCGCCCAACGAGAGCTCTGAGGATGTCAATGACTTCCTCCAGCGCATTCGGGAACTCGGCGAGCGCCGCGACAAAGAAGACGACGAGCGCACCAAGAAACTCGAAGAGGAGATCTTGCAGGGGCGGAAGGAAAGACAAGCCCGGAGAGCCGGTATGCCCCTCGCGTGTGCCGCAATGTGCGTCCTAGGTGGATGAACGCTGATATCTGAATGCAGAGCGAGCTCGATCCCTCGCCCTTACCGATGACTCCTCCACACTGAACATCGCCCGCCTGAGCGCCTCCTCTATTAGTCCCGGGTCGATTAACCCACCAGAACACCTGGAACCCACGCCGCATACAGAACCAAACGCAAGTGTGGACTTGAGCGAAGACACATTGAACACGAGGCGCGGGTCAGTTCAGGAACCCATGGACGCTCAACCACGGGAACTGCCCACGCTGTCCCGGAGCCGGGCGGGTACGCTGTCATGGCAGCAACGGCCACCCTCGCGGGAACTCGGGGCCATGTCCCCCTCAGCCTCCCCCACCCGTTCCCCGACTCGTGCGAGCCATTTGAGACACCACTCCACGGCCTCAGACGATAGACCTCGCTCTCAGTATGGCTTCCCACGGCTGTCGAAGGATTTTGCAGGGTTCTCTCGGTCACCGGAGCGGGGGCTGGCCTCGCCCACTCGGGGGAAAGAAGAACGGTCGGAGAGTCAGACAGAGCCCGAGCTGGCACCTCAGGTACCGGAGGTGAGCGAGGAACCAAGTGCCAAGCTAGATAAACTAGAGGCAGTAGAAGAGAGGCCTTCGTCGCCGCCAAGGACAGGGTCTCGGGATAGCACCTTCAGCCATCGCTTCTCGGTATCATCTGTGTCGGCGGGGTTGGGTTCACCAGTGCATTTGTCTGAGACGCAGAAATTGGAGCCTCGACAGGCTGAGTCGACCGTTGAAGAACCTGCGGCGTCCCCCACCCAGCGGCGCATGTCACCAGAGCGCAGTCGCTCCACTTCACCAACGAAGGGAATGGGAGGCTTTGTGCAAAGTGCCATGATGAGAAGATCAGATAGCGTGTCGAAGAGATGGAGTGCACAGGTTCCACAAGGGCTGAGTCGGTCAAACTCCATTATTTCAAATCGCAGCAGTGTGGCAGGTCCAAGCCTGGGGGAAATGGGACCTCCTCCTCTTTCCCGACCTCGGGGTGACTCTTCAACTCTCCCACCTCGACCTGACTCAAGTCACAGCGACGCACACACAGAAACAACCGAACGACCAACCACTCCTTTAACGCCCGGAATTGGGGATAGAGAAGGTCTTCGGGGCGAAGGTAGCCCAAGCAGAGTGTTCCGTCCCAGCCATTCGCGATCAGCGAGCTCCGTCACGGCCGACGGTAGCGACGCACAGTCAAGCCCATTCGTCTCCAAAACAATGGATCCCCGACGCTGGAGCCCAAGCAAGGCAACGTGGCTAGAAAGTGCCCTCAACAGGCCGGAGCTGCCCCGTCAACCTTCCAAGCCCCCATCGCAACAACCTAACTGGGCTCGAGATCGCCAGTCTCGTGGGAGCGTGGATATGGGGCGAGTGAACAGTTTCAAAGAAGTCACCCCCGTTGGCTTGATGCGCACACCTCCACCGGGACTCCTCAAGAAGTCAGGCGTTTCGGGACCTTCACTTCCAACGAGCCCCGATAAGGAAAACCCCCCCGAGTCCCCCATAGGATTCCCTCTGAAGAAGACCAGTATATCTGGTGCTTCTGTCTCTGGAAGCCCTGATGGAAAACACAAAGATGCTCTTCCCGGCTCTCCTCTGGCATCTCCTTTGAAGGGCCCTAACTTCTCTGGCCAATCTGTTGCTGAGGCCCCCGAAGACAAATCTACAGAGGCCGTGCCTGAGTCTCCTGCAGAGTTCCCCTTCCGCAAGCCGAGCTTGTCAGGGGCATCAGTCTCCGGAAGCCCTACCACCCGCCCCACCGAGACCACACCTGCTTCTCCATCGGGGAGCCTTTTTAAGAAGTCTGTATCGAGCGCCTCTGGGATTGGGAGCCCAGAAGCCAAGTCTAAAGAAACTGCCCCGGAGTCCCCAAAGGCTCTCGGCGACTCTGCCTCAAAGCCTGCAGAAGATAGACCTGGCTCTCAGTCACACATCGACGATACCCTCAAGGCTCTATCAGGTGGGGAACCGACCGAAGAACCCAGCGCTGTTTCCCGTGATGAAGCGGAGATCAAATCCCCCGAAGCACAAGAACCGCTGACGCCCGTCGGGTCTGAACTCACTCCCCAGCCTGAAGCTGCGCCAACTCCCAGAGACCCTCCCAAGTCTTTGGTCAGTCCTAAGCCCAACTTCTCTATCAATACATCTTCCCGGGGGCCAATCTCGCCCACGCCCAAGCCAGCACAGTCACCAGTCATCGATTTCCGTGCCAACCTGAAGAAACGCGAGGTTGTCAAAGAGACCGAGAAAGAGAAAGACACCGATTTCCGCGCGAATCTGAAGAAACGCGAGGTCGTCAAAGACAACGAAAAGGAGAAAGAGCCTGACTTCCGAGCAAACCTGAAGAAACGCGAGGTCGTCAAGGATAGCGAGGAGACGAAAGAGCCAGAATTCAAGAACATCTTCGGCCGGCTTAAGAAAACAGAGACTCGCAACTATGTTGCCCCCGACGAACTCAAGGGAAATATCCTACGGGGTAAAGCTTCTCTCAACGAAACCGGTGGACCTAAGAAGACTGAGCGCGTCGATGAGTTCAGGAGGAGTCTCGTCATGCGCAAAGATGAGATGAAGGCAGGCGGTGGCTCCATCCGGCGTAACACCGCTGGCGAGAAGGATGCGCCGAAACCCGCGGATGCCGTGCCTGAAGCAATCGCCAAGCGACAGAACATGACCAGGACCAACAGCATCAAGCAAAACATTGCGGATGAGCCGATCTCTCCTGTCAAGAGCGTTGGCTCGCGGGCGTCTCAGGATAGGAAGCCGTTCTCCCCAACGTCATCTTTCAAGGACATGGGCTCCTCCCGCACTTCGCAGGAACAAGAACCTTTATCGCCATTCCCTGCGGACGATGGTCTAGATGGGCCCGGCTGGCCGTTGAAACCCACCAATGTCACGGCCCCATCTGCCGCTGAGGATCTCCAACCAGCCTCGCCATCTCCTGCCGTCGATCTCGTTGATGAGAAGCCAGAGGCATCCCATGCGATCAGTCAAGACCAGGTGGCCCCTGAGCTGAGCCCTGCTCGCCAGGATGGACCTCGTGAAGTCATCGAGCCCACTGAGCCCGCCACAGACAAGGAACACTCGCCTGAGGTCGCAAAAGCCAGCCCAGTCCACGAGTTCCCCCCAAAACCCATCGCAGAAGCCACCGCGAGCCCCGTTCAAGCCGCAAAGAGCAAACTAGCCGGCCGGATCAACCCTGCACTCGCAGGCCTCCTTTCCCGTGGCCCGCCTGCCCCCGAAGGACCGAAGAAGGACCTACCGATTGCCTCTACGCAAAGCAGCCCCGCCCCATCTGCGCCCCTCGAACACACAACTAAGAGCCGGGCCAGAGGCCCCAAGAGACGTCCTCCCCAGGCTACGACTTTGACCCAGTCCGCTCAGGATCCCACTAAGGAGGTTGGTGCTATCTCCTGCTTTGATGCCATTCCATCACAGACTCCTCCATCCCCTGTTGAGTCTTTTGACGACGTTTCGGATCGCTTCTCGCAAAATGATGATTCTGTTCCTGACACCGAGATCCCTCGTCCAGAGAGCCCTGTAGCCGAGCACCTGCCTATCGAAGATCCTCCTGTCGCGCAACTCCCTGCCGAGAAGCTCCCCGTCGAGCAGCCTTCCCTCCCACAATCCTCCGCCGAAGAGACCCATATCGAGCAGCTTCCCACCGAGCCATCTCCTGTCGAACAACCCCGCGATGAGCAACCCTCCTCCGAGACCTTACACGCCGAAGAGCCCGTCGCCAAGGAGCCTTTGGTCGAGGAACCTCCTTCCCCTGAGTTACTCCCTAGTGCGACATACGTTGAGCAGCGCCCTTTCTTTGAAGACTTTTCTGCTGAAGATTCTGTCTCTGATCGACTTTCTTTCGATGCGCCCTCCTCTCCTGATCTATTCCGTGGTGAGAAGTTCGCGGATGAGCACCCCTCCGCCGCGGGCTTCCATTTTGAAGAGCCCATCGCCGAGAGACTATCCTTCGATGCACCTTCCTCGCCTGAGCTACCTCGCGATGAAAAGTTCGTCGACGAGGAACCCACCGCCGCGACCATCCATACCGAGGAGTCCGTCGCCAAGAGACTGTCTATTGAAGTGCCTTCCTCGCCTGAGCCACTCCACACTGAGAAGTCCCTAGATGAGCGTCCTTTGTCAAAAGATCTCCATCACGAGTATCCTGTTGCTGAGCAACTCTCTGTCGAAAGGCCTTCTTCTCAGGTCATCCCCGATGAGAAGCGCACTGATGAAATGCCTTCTGCCGAGACTCTCCACGCCGAACAGTCTAGCCCTGTCGCTGAGAAAGCTCCTCTGGCAGCATTCTCCTTCGACTTGCCCCCAAGTGACAACATCGTTCCCGAGACACATGCATCTGAAGAATACCACCCCGAAGAGGTGATTTCAGAGCAAACCCCGGCCAGAGAGCCTTCTCCCGAAGTTCTTGATGAAAAGTCTCATGATGTGCGACGTTTGTCCGACAATTTCCATGTTCAAGAGACCACGACCGAGAAAATGTTGAACGAGTCCCTTGATGGGAAAGCCCCCGCTGATGAGAGCCTGCATGCCGAAAATCCTGTTGTCAACTCATCCCTTGTTGAGCAAACTTCTGTTAAGGCGCCTGCTTTTGCAGAGCCAACCGCTGAGCAGCCTTCTCTCGAGCGTCTTTCACTGAAGGAGTTCTCTTTTAACGATACCAGTGCTGAAAAACAGCCTGTCGACATGCCTTCTGCTGAGGATCCTTCTGTCGAACAAGTTCAAACTGAGAAGCTGCCTGTTGAACAACCTATCGAGCCACTCCCTGTTGAGCACGGCCTGAAGGAGCGTTCCTCTGTGGAGAGCCTACGTGTGGAGGAGCCTATTGCTGAGCAACACACCGTTCAGGAACCCAGCGTCGAGCAACACCTTGCTGGGCAGACCCTGAAGGAGCGATCTTCCATTGACAGCCTCCGTGTCGAGGAACCCATTGTTGAGCAACTCCCTGTCAAAGAGCCATCTCCCGAGCCAATTGAAGTGCAAAAGCCTGTGGAACAACCCTCCATTGAGCAACACAACGATGAGAACGTGGCGCCCCCAGTTCCCCTCAAGAGCGAGCCCCCACGTAGGGTCCCTTCGCCGCTTCAGCCTCGATCCCTGACAACGGATTTCAATACCTTCCCTTCTCGTCCATCCGAAGAGACACGGAGCGGGCTTGCGAGCCCTGGAGAGCCCAGTCCATCAAGTGGCCCCCCTGTGCCATCAAAGTCCAACTCTCCCTCATCCTTGTCTCCCTCAACGCCCAAGTCAAGGTGGATCCAGCAGAATCGATATGCGTCGCCATCGCCATCGCCTCTGAGAACAAGCTACAATGAGAACCGGAGGGATTCTGCCGCTACTCAGCACAGTACATCCGCTACAACCATTGGCTCCTCCCGGGAAGCTCTCAGTCGACCTGTCAGCCATGTTTCCCCGCCAGTTCCCCCCAAGGACGATGAACCTACGCCCCAAAAGCCAGTCGACCCTCGCAGACTGTCCCGCAAAATGTCTGCTCCTTCACTGGTTGCTCAGGCAAGCGAGGCTAAAGAGGTCATTGCGGGATTTTTCAAGACGTTCCCCAACCCTCAGACTCGCATGGATATCGATCCTCAGGTGCCACTCATGAAAAGTCCGGATGATACTAAGATTCGGACGATCAAGCGTCATATCTGGGAACTCACTGGTGACGGTAGACGTCAGGAACTCCCATCTCACCAAGAGTACATTCTCTACCAAGGAAGCATGTATATTTGCGTGCACGTTTTCGAGATCGGCCGAAGCACTACTTCGGAGGTATACCTTTGGCGTGGAGATGATGTTCCCGACACCGCAGTCGATAGCGAGCAAGCCTTTGCGCGCAAGGTTGCCCGCGAGAACAGCTCGAAGTTGCAAGTCATCCGTCAAGGCAAGGAGCCCACGCGATTCATCCAAGCGCTTGGTGGTATCATGATCACCCGTCGTGGATCCAGCTCCCGCCACAACTCCTCGGCCCTTTACATGCTCTGTGGGCGTAAGCACTTGGGTCAGATGACCTTTGACGAGGTGGACTACTCTCTGCGCAACCTCTGCTCCGGCTTCCCCTATGTTGTCTCAGCCCCCTTCGGCAAGCTTTACCTGTGGAAGGGAAAAGGCAGCGGACCCGAAGAGACCGGTGCTGCCCGTCTCATCGGCATGGACCTCGGTCTGACCGGCGAGTTTGAAGAAGTCGGCGAGGGCGAAGAGCCCGAAGACTTCTTCGACGTCTTCGCGGGCCCCCGAGAAGCCGCACCACACATGTGCCAGGACTACTGGCGCCTCAAGCCCAAGTACAGCCACTTCCGCACCCGTCTGCTTCGCATCGACCACGAGCTCGGTCAACCCACTCGGTTCTGGAACCTGCGCCGCCCTGGCTCTGGCTCGCCCGTCGTGAGGCCCAACGACTGCGTGCAAGAGATCGAACCCTTCTGCTACCGGGACATTGGCGACAAGGACGTCTACATCTTGGACACCTTCTTTGAGATTTATGTGTACGTTTTTCCCCCTCCCTGGTGTAATCCTCATACTCATCCTTTGCAGCATTGTCGGCGAACAAGCCATTCAGAAATCCGCCGATTTCGCCTCGGCCGTTGTCTTTGCGCACGAATACGGCATTCTCGCCACCTCGCTTCAGGATCGCCCGTTCATCCCTAAGAGTTACGTCGCCCTCGGGGGCGTGGCTGATCGTTGCCAGAGCGCGTTCCGCAAATGGAACCCGCGGAACCACCATGCGCCTTTTGTGTTCCCTCTCGATGTGGTGATTGAGTCGCTTCGCGAGCTCGGGGAATGAATTGTATGTTATTTTTATTGTTTTTGTGCATATTTCGGCCTGTGTGGATATGGAGAATCTTTCGGGTCTACTAGAACAACGGAGCATGGTAGATAGGCGGATGCATTTGCGGTGTATTTAGGAATTGATTTTGGTTTTTCAATTGCGCGAAGCAGTATAGAGGTAGACAATATTGGGCTCTATATTGTTTCACTTCTTCACTTCATTTCCCCGAGATCACTCCCTCAGGATGTTGGGAGTCAGGTGATCCCTCTCTCAGTTCCATCTCAGTAGCCAGTCTCCGTCTTTCTTTCCCTCTGTCCATTCAGTTTCCTCCCGAGGTCTCTCTCTTGCCCTATGCGGTAGCCTTTCCCAAGGAGTCTCTCTTTGTAACCGCTCTTCGTCAACCATCTTTCTTTCTGCTTCAACTATTCAAGAATCAATTATACGGAAATGACCCAAGATTCCTTGTGCCAGGGCCAGCCAGCATTGCCTTCGATGCGCCTGCGCCCTCTACCTGGACTGTCATCAGGCGCCTGAATGAACACGCTCAGCGAAGGTGCTCCAACAACTCCACTGTCTCCTATCTGTGAAACACCAGTGTAAGAAACGCCGAAATGCGAGCGAAATCGCGTTCGTTCGGATATACTAGGTGATAGTTTCGGCGCAGGACTCTGAGACACGCCCTCCAGGCAGACCCGCCTTACCAAGCTTTGGAATGAACCGAGGGCGAGCTTTGGACATTTCAGGCGATACAAAACGAATTTAGAGACCCCAGTGGCTCGCTCACTACGACAGAGTCTGCACTATTCGAAAGGCGTTAAGTACGACCATCCAGTGAGCGCTACGGAGGACTCTCCGTCAGAATAGATGTGTACTAACCCCTTGTAGGGAGACCGAAGCTCTTGGGGTTTGCCCCTTGTTCACCGGTCACTCTAATTTAGTTTGGGATTCCGCCTCCGGCACTCTGTACGTGACCAGTTGCACTGTGCTCTCAATATACTAATTGCGTGTAGGTTTATGGTCGGGTTCCGTCAGTGGCTTGAGGTTGAGCCAATGCCCTGGACTGAGGCTCAGTCCTCCTGGTACGGCGTGGCAAGGCATCCCAGGAGGGTCAACTGGGCGCAATGGGCGCAAAACCCTGATGCTTCGGACTGGACGTTTTAGATACGTCGCCACGAAACACACCGTTAACCATTCAACCAAAAAGATGCACAACCTGTGGAACGGTGTGTTTGGTATTTTTATGAGCCCTGGGGGCTTTTGCGAGACATTCAATCAATTCAAAGGTATTTCTGACTGACCACGTATACTTCCAAAGTCCATGGGTTGTATATTGATATCCTCCAGGCCGGGCTAACAATGGCTAGAGTGCACGTCACAGTACGGTTCATGATGCGAAACAAGATACAAGACAGATGCGCCGACATACCGAAAAACGCCCGATGTCATGATTATGCGACCAAATGGCACTTCTCATGTCGTTGGTGAGATGAAGACGTTTGGGGTGCCCGGCCACCAGCTGGGGACTTTTTGTTGGGACTACCAAAACACAGAGAGAGCAGACTCGATTCAACTACAACTACTCTCGGGAGAGAGAGAAAGGAAGCAAACTATCTGATGGCAAACTGAGAGCTAGAAACCCCGGTCATGTGCCCTAGGGCCCGGATGACTCGCGACACTTTTGTCGGGAGATTCTAACTGGTCAAGACGTGCTGTTCCTCAGGAGCCAGGTAAGAGCTCGCACCTATATACATGAACAGTGGCTGAGATGGTGAAGTTGCGCTAACGTAAAGCGTACAGGGCAAATTGCCAGATATATGAAAGACTTGGATCTTGAGGTTGGCTTTCTCAGCATGTACAATGAGACGCTGTTTTTGCGTCAAGTCCTTTTTGGTCCAGGGAATTGGAATTCCCTCTGATCTACCATGACGACGTCTTTACTGGAGGGGAGGTTACTCTCCGCCAGAGAATGATGCGCTTGGCCCTGTGCTCCCTTGAAAACCCTCGCCCGGAAACTGGTTTGCATGGTGTTTGGACTGTTGATACTAATAGATCGGAAATATATACAGAGCCAACACTGATCCTATACAGTTCTATATGCAGGTTGATTCCGTGACACGTGATCCATATGTAGGACATAATTTATTTTTATTATTTTGTATATATTCCGTATATATCTCCTTAGTCTCTTCTACCTATTAACTAGAATTGTTGACAATGTTGGAGTGCAGTATCAGATTTGTAAACCGTACGATGCGGAGCCGAAAGACGGAGATAAAAAAATTAAATGTCGCCATCCCCGATCTCTCCGATCGATCTAAATCCTCTCTTACCTAGTAATTCTCTCCCCTTGATCATTTAAAATGCCGTGAGAGTGCAATGGATCCCTTCATCCTCCGTGAGCTCGCGAAGCTCGACCCTGCGGTACCGTTCCGCTCATCCACCGACCACCTGCATCACACCTGGGCCAAGACTTTCTTTTCGCGCCCCGAGCTCTACATCCGCCCACAATCCATTCTAGAGATCCAGCAGCTGGTGACCCTTGCCCGGCGCTGTCGACGTCGTCTGGTCACTGTCGGCAGTGGCCACTCCCCCTCCGATCTCACCTGCACCTCCTCCTGGCTGGTCAACCTCGATGACTTCAATCGCATCCTCGACGTCGATCCGACCACCGGCACCGTCACCGTCGAAGCAGGCATTCGATTGGCTCATCTCGGCGCCCAGCTGGAACAACAGGGCCTGACGCTTCCGAACCTCGGCAGTATCGACAGTCAATCCATCGCCGGCGTCATCGCAACGGGAACTCACGGCTCCTCCCTCCGTCACGGTCTGCTGTCGGAATGCATTGATTCGCTCGGCCTCGTGCTCGCCAATGGGCAGTTTGTTCGCTGTAGCCCGACCAATAACGTCGACCTCTTCCGCGCCGGCCTGGTCTCCCTCGGAGCCCTCGGAATCGTCGTCGAAGTCACCTTCAAGGCCCGGCCGTCCTTCAATATTGCCTGGCGCCAGGAACGATACACACTCGGCCGCGTGCTGAGCGACTGGTCGACAGGGCTGTGGACCACGCATGAGTTCGTCCGCGTCTGGTGGCTGCCATATGAGAAGAGTGCTATCGTCTGGCGCGCCGATAAAACCGACCTGCCCCTGCGCGCGCCGCCCAAAAACTTCTACGGCGACTCCCTGGGCTACCACATCTACCACAACCTCCTCGCCCTCTCCTCTTACTGCCCGCGCATCCTCCCCTGGGTGGAATGGTTCGTCTTCGGCATGCAGTACGGCTTCCGCGCCGGGTCGACAGTGACCGAGGCCGTGGAGCCCGCGCGCGAAGGCCTCCTCATGAACTGTCTCTACTCCCAGTTCGTGAACGAGTGGGCCCTCCCCCTCGAGAAGGGTCCCGAGGCCATTAGTCGCCTCTCTGCCTGGCTGCACGGCGACCCCACAACGGGTATCCCCTTCACCTCCAAGGGCTTATGGGTCCACTGCCCCGTCGAGGTACGAGTCTCCGACACCACGCTGAACCACAAACCCCGCCCGTTCCTCGACCCGACCTCCCCCGAGGGCCCAACTCTCTACCTGAATGCAACCCTCTACCGGCCTTACCTCCGCGATCCGCCCTGCCGCCGGCGCTACTATGAAGCCTTCGAATGGCTGATGCGCGACCTGGGCGCCAAACCGCACTGGGCGAAGAACTTCCACGCCTTGGGCCCGCACGAGCTGGCGCACGCCTACGGCGACCAGATGGACGCGTGGATGAAGGTCCGCAATGAAGTCGACCCGGAGGGCATGTTCGTGGGCGAATGGCACCGCCGCAATCTGCCCCTGGCGGCTGAGGGATTGCTCCTCCTGGAGCGCGAGCACGAGCGTCGGCCCGTGGGTGGCGTCGGTGACGGGGTCGAATGGGTAGGCGATCGGCAGGCTCTACCCCTGGACGAGAGGGCTTACACAGAGCCTGATTCACCCGGCGCGGCGAGTGAGGAGAGCTTTGATTTGCTCGCCCGGGGGGAAGCGAGTATTCTGCTGGAGAAATCAGGCTCCTAAAGCAAACATCGGGACCCAATCTCGGTCTGCTGATCTACTGGGCTGTGTCCTCTCATTGGTGTTTCTCCCAGGCTGTTTCTGTTTATTTCTGTCTCCAGAGCTACTCAACGGGAAACGGTCCATGTTCCCTTTTCTTCCCCCTATATTTGCTTTTTCTCTCGCCAAGGCCCTTGTCCTCGTGGTCTTCAGAGATTGCAATCTGATGGACGGAGGAGTGAGCTGCAGGTTCGATGCGGTTTCGCACCTGTTCCTCCCATAGGCGCCCTCTCTTTTGTTCTTTTGAGATATGCATAGATGAATCAATAGTCCCTGTTCGTACCCTGACGTAACTTGAGGCTCTCCTATCGGGGAGACCTGGCACCCTGTTCCCTGTGTTCAGCTGAGTATACAGGCTCACAGGTTCACAGGTTCACAAGTCCCGTTCACTGTTCTCAGACTCTCAGACTTCAGACTCTCAGACACACAGACTCAAGACTCACAGACTCAAGACTCACAGACTCACAACACAGAAACCGATCTCTTGAGATCAGGGCCGATTCGGGATCTGAGGCGCCGTGTTTGTGGGCAATGCAGGCCTTACCGGGGCCTTTTCGCAACCCCGCTTCATCGAGTGACTCGAGGCTATACGTGCCCGCGACTAATGGCCCCTTTCTGTCGATCGGGCATATCACACTGTCCCACGTTGGTGCTGTCGCCAGAGCCATGACCCTCCAGAGGATTGCAAGCACGCTGCAGATGGACAGGGGCCCTGATTGGTGAACTGGCGTCTACCATCGTCAAGCGGGAGTCCTTCGCTCTGACGTGCAGTGTCAGCACTCGTATGACAGAACCCATTCCTATGTCCTCACCACGTCACGACGAAGTATTAGATGCTGCGCTGGGCACTGGGCTCTTCTTCCCTTTTCTTGCTTCTTAATCCCCCCCTTCTCTCTATTTTATCTCTCGCCATATCTCTCCATGGTCTCCAACATGATATCCATGTCCTGGCAACCAAAACTTCGCCCTAAGGGCTTCCCGCATAGCATTGACGACTTTGCCGCCATGGCATCGCTGTCCGAGTTGGAACATCGGGCCCGAACTGAAGACAAGCGCGACCAGCGCGTCTTCAGAGTCAAGCGCAAACATGTCCTCAAGGCCTGTGATCGCTGTCGCGTGAAGAAAACCAAAGTACGCCCCCTCCATGTTATAACGATCCCAACTAACCCCGCCAGTGCGACGGGAAACAGCCCTGCAATCGCTGCTCCGTATACAACCACCCATGTCTCTTCCGTGAACGAAAGGCCACTCAGACCAAAGTCTACTCACGGGGGTGAGTCATGTCTAAGCTAGCTCCTGAGCCATACTGACAGCAATAGATTCGTGGAAATGCTCGAATCCCACCACTCACTGGTAGTCAAGGCGCTGCAAAAACTATACAAGTTCTGCATCAACAACGAAGGATTCCCAGGGGAACCTCTCGCCGAAGCACAAGACGGACACCCTCTCACGCACGCCATCCTCGACCGCCTAGGACTCATCAAACAAGCCGAAGAAAACGCCGACGAACCAGACGAAGACTCAGAGGATCTTCGCTACCTGCGCCTTCTCTCCACCTCCACAGAATGCAGCGTCACTGCAGAACCCTCCCCAGAACCATCCACACCCCCCGAACCATTCCCTATCTCCCGCCCACTTCCTCCCCCGCTCTCCCGCTCTGCCACTGCCCCAAATTGGCAGTGGGATCTCCCTGTCCAGTCCTACTACCAGGATTCCTACGACCTCATGCCCTTGCCTCGCTCCATGACTGCACCGGATATCACGGATATCCCGCCCCACGTCGACTTGCCCCCTTCAAGTTTGCACGAGCATCCATATCCATATGCCCTGGGATGCTGTGAACAACCACAGGATGTCAAGCCTGTTGTCTCGCGAATGCCCCTCGATCAAAGTCATATGAACATGTCTGCAGAAATGATGGGCGACTTCCAGTTCCAAGGAAACGAGCCCTTCTACCCTGGTTTTACGCCTTGGAATTTCCCTTCTGCATAGCTTTGCATGCGATATACACTTGAGAGTTTAATGTTCAGAACTTTCATGCATGGGCTGTTGAGCAGCTTATTCCCCTTTTCACTTCTTGATTTATACTTCACCTTTCACCCTTTAGCCTGAGCCTTGAGCTTTCCCCCTTCACTTCTTCTATACCCCCTTTCTTTTTCTTGTTTCCACTGCCAGCAGGGACTGGGTTACGGGATTATATGTCTGGCACAGCTCCTTGAATCACCTTTGTTTCGGGTTTAGCCAAGTCTAAGTCTGCCTTGCTTTTCCGGGCTATAGCTATCTTGGAAAAATAAGCTCTCGAACTATTCACATGGTGTCTTCATACTTGACTTCAAGGTTACTTGACTAGTCAATGTAGACTATTGTACGGGGTACAGCAATGCAACAACATGACAACACCGGGATACTTCGATGACTTCGCGATACTCGATACTCAGGTTCTAGACGACGTGCTTGGCCTCGTCGGATCCCTCTGCGCTCGTGAGATGCCTGTGTCTGCACGTGAAAGTATCCAGTACTTGCAAGTCGATGTATAAACCTGTTTTCTCTTGTATCGCCCTGAGCAGGTATCAGGTGGCTCCAAGGATCAGCTAACGCCAGATCATCTAGGTGGATTGGTGGTACAGAGTGTCTACAAGATAGTACAGAGGGATTGATTCTGGCATCAACCCAGAGAAACAAGCTACACGGTGCAGTGAGACTTGGGATCGCGTGCTGGAAAATGGTACTGTGGCAAAGTACTTCAAGGGGATGGCTGTGAGAGGCTTGATCTATTCCCGGGTTGGAGGGTTGGCTGTGTACCCTGCACTGCATACTGATATGGTGAGTGCCTAGTACTGCGATTCGAGTAGATACCTAGGTAGGTAGACACAAGCTGTGTGATGGTCATTTTCTAGTCATTTTTCCTGTCTAACCCAGGACAGATAAATAAATAAAAACAAGGCAGAGAGGAAAAGCAGAACCCCGAAGCTACCCGATGAAATAGACATGCAATTGGAGGGCCCAAGCCAAAGCTCAGGCCAACACGCACGTCACACAAGTCCTAAGTACAATGCAAAAGGGATTCAATCCTCGTCTTCCGTCTCCGTGTCGGTATCGCTGGTATCGCCCGCGTCGCCGTCGGTGTCACTCTCACTGGAGTCGTCGGAATCCTTGGCCTTCTTCTTGGGCGCTTGTCCGGTCTTGATGGCTTGCATCTGGCCGGCAATGGAGTCTGTAGTGCGTTAGTGAGAATCAAAGTAGAGAGATGGGGAGACTTACCCTCGTCGGGCTCGCTGATGTCGTCCTCCTCTTCCAAAGACACGGCCTTGGCGGGATCGTCAATGTGCAAGGTGATCTGTGCTGTGTTGTCGAGGCCCATGTAGCTATCACAGAGCATGTGGAGGACGAAGGTGAAGTCGCCGACCTGTGGGGGCGCCTGGAACTGCATCTTGAGGGTCTGGACGTTGTAGGTCGGCTTGCCGGCCTCGTCGAAGATCGGCTTGTCGAATGTGGTGAATGTGAAGGGGGGCACGGCCATCTTACCCTGCTTGGCGTCTGCCAGGAAGATGTTCCAGCGAGGGGAGTGGTCGCGAGCCAGGTACGGGGCGTGCGCGAGAGGGGGTTGGATGGTCTCGATCTTGGACTCGACCTTCTTGCCGTCCTCCGTCTTGGTGGCACGGTTCTTGGCTGGTTTGCGTCCCATCAGGGCCTCGAGGTCGTCCTCGTCGGGATCAATGTCCTCAAGATCGGAGGGGTTCACAGGGGGCACGGATGTGCTGCCGGGAGGAATGAAGCGCGCCTTGACTACCAGCTGTACCAGACTGCTGGGGGTGATGACCTTCTCGCCCATAACCTTGAAGAAAATTCTCTCCGGTTGGAGAACGGGGAGCTGCTTGGCGACGGTGATGGCGTCGGTGTATTGCTTATCAGTGAGGAGACCGGCGCCAACGGTCAGACTGCGGCGCTGAGCCTCGGGAAGTTCCATGTACTTTTGGATGGTGAGGTGCTCCTTGGAGTCTTCGCCCTCCACGGACTTGACAACAGCGTCGGTGAAGTTGGGAAGTTGAAGGAGGGGAGAAGAGCCCGGAGACACGGCCTGGATGAGGTTCTGGGAAGTTTTGAAAGCACCAACGATGGGTCCGAGGTTGCCAAATGCGAGAGCAATAGCAGTGAAAGCTTCAGTGAGGGAGAGAGCGACAGGAGCGGCCTCATATTTTTCTAGATGCAGTTAGTCTCATGTTCGTACTTCGTATCAGCAATTTGCCTTACCAGCATCGAGGGATGCATCGCCAAGATCGATACGGCCAAGATAAGCCCAGAGCAAAGCCAGAGCCTTGCGGCGCGAGGAGCTGTCCGAGAGCTTCAGAGCTTCACGGTCCTTGGCAGAAAGGAACGAGTTATCATCTGCCAGCACCCGCTTCTCCAGCTTAGCGAGCCCAGACTCGGCCTGGGCGCCCTTCAGCATATCCTTGAATTCTTCACCGGACGACAAAGCGCCAACAATGCCACCTTCGGTAATGTCGTCCTTGTACTCGCGGAAGATGTTTCCGGCGCTGGCAACAAGAACGCGCTCCTTGGTGTAGCGCTGGGATCCATACCACCACTTGCCGACAATGTACGGCAGAAGCACACCCAGGAGGGCACCGTAAACCAAGAGAACATACTTGCCATTGCCATCCATGACAATGAACTGGGGAAGAGCGATACCAATGCTGAAGCTCTGCTTGCCGTCGGGATGTCCGAATTGCAGGTAGTTGTTGCGCACCTCCTCGTCAGTGAGAGCCTTGTAGGCCTTGGTCAGCTCGACGAAGCGCTCGTTGAGCGTCTCCATGGTCTCATTTTTGGCGGGGTCGGGGCGAATTTTATCGGGGTGGTAAACCAGCGACATGCGCTTGTAGTGTCGGGAGATAGCTTTCTCGTCGGCGCTCTGCATTCAGAAATATGGTCAATTAATGTTCTCGCGCAATGCGCTGCCGCACAAGTTCACTCACCCTCGAGACGCCCAAAATATCATAAGGGTCGTAAGCCTTGACCACGGTTCTGGCTGTGACAACGATCAAATACACCATCCACGCCATTACGGCGTATCCGAGAATGACAGTGACGATGCGCTTGATTCGGCGCTCCTTGCGCAGGCGCTTGCGCTTCTGCGCGTCAATAAGATCGGCATGTTCCGGTTTGAAGTCGGACTTGATGCGGGGAGCGGTGTTCTCGAGCTCTGCGAACAAAACCACAGGGTTAGATACCGGGCATGGCAATCAAAGTTTTCTCTTGGCTCACCTTTGCTCGGTCGTAGAAGGTTGTAGGTGAGAGGGAGGGTAACCAAGCCGGTCAAGGTGAGGATGAAGAAGGGGAAGAATTGACCCTACACGCCACGTTAGTACTCCTGCGTTTTCAGTGGGGAGGCTTCCCACTAACCTGCTCATCATAGGTGTAGTCCGACGACATGCTGCGGAGGGTTCAAGGTACAGACAGCGGTGGCCGCTGTCCGCGGGATTTAAAGAGCGTGTTATGCAGAGCTGGTGACCGTAGCTCCGGATGGGTAGTCGAACGCGTCTTGAAAATGGGAAGAAATCAAAGCCAGAATAAAGCCTGCGAGCCTGGCCGACGGAAGACAAAGGAACGATGAAGGGGGATAATCAATATCGCACTTCCTGATCTGGTGATGACCGTGTCCTCAAGCAGGGTCCGTTGACCGCCTGCCAGGTTGGGAGCCCAATGGGCAGTTGTGGTGCAGGCGGTGAGAATGTTTGAGCTCAGCCTTGGCCGATCGTCTGATTTCATGATCTCCGTTCAAATGCTTCGTCTTTTCTTCTCCAGGGCTACATACTAGGTAGGTAAATTCTACTTTTGTTTTAGTGCATTTCGGAATTGAATTCACGCAACTGCTTCTCTCCACACAATCATCTGCACTACTACGGAGTAGGTACGAGTTGACTACGGAGTACAAGTTGACTACATGTTGAAACTGAAATATTGATAACTTTTGTGATATGTCATGAGCTCAAGGCTTCAAATGAATATATACGGTGACTCTACAGTCCAAAAGGGGACAGTCACGAGAATCGAAGAGCCAATCGACCCCACTAGCAGCCTAACGACCCCATCGGGTTGAGGGTTCAGAACAGATCCACCGCACACTTCACCGCTCCTAGCCATGAGAATCGATGCCTCAGAAAGGGTGTTCAAGCGTCCCGTTTGGGATGCGAACTCAACCTCGCCAGGCAGATGACTCGATCATGCTATGACTCATTCTCGGTGTGCGATGAACCGACAGACCATGATTCACACGGCCGGGTGAAAGGGACCAATCCAATACCGGGGTATCTTCATTGCTGCAAGTCAGGGACCCGGGGTGACCCGTGTGATCTGGTGTTCTGCTGTTGGCGCATGGAGACGGCCGACACAGGCCATGTCGATTGGCTTTTTTTGGTTTTTGTCGAACGCGGATTCATGAAACGTCGCAAATTCGTAATGGTGGTTTTCTTTTTTGGTGGAAAAAAATAAAAAAATGGAGTCGAACGTTCAATCTCCCAGGGCATGGCCACTTGTGCTGGGGTCCGTTAGGATGGGTGTCTGGAGGGGTGATATCGCCGGCACTCACGAGTCGATATAGTCCAATCCGCCGAAATATTCCAGCATGCGGTAACAGAGATTCACATCGTCACCGGGCTCGCCGCCGAACAGGCGCAGCTGCTCTTTTTCCAGACCATATTGGGATGGTTCACGGGTCTGCCAGGCCATATACCCATTGTGCCATGATGGGGCGAGGGTGGCTGGGGATGCACTGCATGGCGAGTCGGACACGAGGTGACAGGTGGGTTGAATTGGCGAGGCTGGCACCATGCGGTGAGAAGAGCGGCGGGTTCGGCGTCTGTTATGCCTCTGGCCCATCCTCTGAAGGATGCGAAGGAGGGAGGAGGATCCCCGAGAGAGGAACGAAAGAGGAACGAAAAAGTGGACTGGGGCGTTTTAAGTAGCGACCATCACCTCCTGGAAAGGACGAGATGAGGTACTGAAAGGAAAAATCGGATGTAGATATGCAGCAGGGGTGACCTTTATACAGTGGGACCATAGTGAGTCACTAAGACCCACTGGGAGATCCTTTTACGGAGCAGAGCACCGCATGATCGTGAAAATGGCATGCTACACTAGCCTGTTTGGGCTCAAGGCGTGCTTCAGTCGTCATTCTCTAATTGGACTACTATACTCATACTCATCATTATACTCATACTCTGCTCTACTATACCATAGTATTAGTTATGAGGTGATTACTCCCACCCATTTACAATATGGCGACTGACGAAAATTCTGACAAAGAATAAGCCATAAATCAAAGAAAATACAAAATGAAACATCCAATGACGAATAACCCACCACGCACCATCCCGGGTCCTTCGCTGCCATCGCGCCGATGCCGGCTCTTTGCCGTGCGGACCGAACGGCGATCACATCAGGCATTCCGACTTTACCCTTTACACTAAGACTACTAGTTGTACTGTATGCAGGGCCCCGGAGGACCTCGTAACACTCCGATCAGCTTGGGTACGAATCTGACTTTTTCGACCTTGCGTCCAACGGGCAAGGGCTGAATTCTAGGTTCTTCCATAAAGAATCTGACTCAGAGTTTTGATTTTTTCTTTGACAATTGAAGCATTGACTCACCCCTGTTGAAATTTTCCAGGCACTAATAATAGGGCCCCCTGAGATCAGACAAGGCAGCATTAGTATGAGTAGACTCCATTTTCCAGACAGAATTTTAATCTCCAATCTCCCTGCAGCAAACGCACAGTGGAGACACCTTATTCATCCTGTCGAATTTGAACTCCCACAACTTCCAAGATTTCCTTCATTGGAAAGCCGGCTCATTGTTCCGCCCACCGCCTGATTCTGCCCGAGATGGTCCAATACTAGGGGAAACAGTCCTTCATCTCCAAGCCCTCCAGTCACAGACTGCCAGCGGATCCTGGATCTTCTGCCAGGGTCCCAATGGGCCATGACGGAGCAGTCAACGGTCATCGTCGATGTAATGCCCCCACAAAGGAGAAGTCAGAGTGCCCATGTGCTGGTGTGCGGCCATTCGCGAGGTTGACGAAACAGCGGAGCCCACGAATGTGATGGACCTCGTTCGGGCTGGGGTTTCGACCGCTTGATTGGTCTCTGGGAATCCTCTCACGGTCTGCGAGATCGTCCGCCTGATTATTTCCTTCACTGTCGGGTACAGGGACCGGCTTTGGAATATTGCGCGGTATGCGAGGGCGTTCTGGTAGGTATATGAGACTGATCTCGGCTAGAATGCAGTCACGGCCTGGTGTTAGCGTACTGTTGACATGATTGCCATGGCTTGTTCTTTTGCCTGTGACATCATGGACAGTTGGCAGTCTGAATTGTAGACCTGGCGCACCCCACTGTCAGGTACTTCTGTTTCGGTACGCGTGGTATGAGCCGACAGTGTCATTGGAGATCCACACCTGGGGAACGTGGGCTGGTATGCATCCCTGCCAGGGGCCTACGCTGGCCAATTTTGGCGGACGTACGGAATAATCGACACATGGTCATTGACGGGATGTGATCCTTGGGCACATCCACGACTTCCCTTGTGAGTTGTTGTCTCTCGCCCTGATTGACGGGTAGGGATCGTTCAGATTTGATGAAACACACAACCCGAGTTTCATCCCTCCATTATGTAAACGCGTGTGAGCCTTCAAATGGAGGGACTCCAGGCTCTAGACCATCAGCCCCTTGATTTGGCGTTTTCTGAAACCCGGGAAGATCTGTAGATTTGCGCGGTGTGGATATTGGACAGGTTGCCTCTGCTTCTAGGCTTCTAGACTTGTCCCCGTACAAGGCAATGAAGGGAAGCCCACTCGTCTGAGACAGCCACAGCCCACTTCGAAATAATCCCTGCTTCCCGTGATCTGTGTGCCTCAGGTGTCGACTGATGTATACCTCAGGCACCAAGTTTCAATGACCGCAGCCTCTACTCCGTACTCCGTCCACAGAACATACAGCGATTGCCCACTTTTCAGGAATCAGACCCTGTTTCCTATTGTGGTTTTTTACTTACCTAGTACCTAGGTAGTGTGTAGTTATCTACCCTGCCCTTCGGGCCTCTGAAATTTATGTATCTATAGTCCATCGTCACGTCTGCAACGTAGGTATGAGAAATATATATTAGAGGGACTTTTTGCAATGTTACAACTTTGAATGCCAATGGGAATATTCATGCCACTAGTACTCTACTAGGTACACCCTGAATTTTCGATGAACCCCATACCTACTAGTAGGTACAACACCACGAGCAAAGCCCATAATCTGCCCAGGTGCCCCCGACACCCACAATATGCAGCATTTTCGTGACCGGGCGTTCAGACATGCAGGACACCATCCCAAGCTTCTTGCCATCGCCTCGCCACCAACTATCAGCAAACCCAGACCCCGGGAAGATATACTAGCAAGCGATTCCGACGGCGCACTCGCTCGGTGGGAGAACAGTCAACTTTGATGTCCCGTCGGAAATGAAGTTGGGCCATCTTTGCGTCCAGTGACAAACCCAGCCCCCATGAGCGGTCATCTGTACCTCTGGAAATAACATAGAGACGGGCACCTTCACGACATAATTGTAGCGAGTACAATCGGATCTCCGTCGGAAGGCGTATGGCGAGGACGATTCGGCGTGTGAACTCTAGTGTAACAACAACGGTCAGTCTCTTCACTTCAACTTGGAAATGGGGATAACCTTGGAAGTGTTTGGAGCCCATCATGCCGAACTTGAATCGCTGTCCGCTGTAGCATCAATGCCGACATCTGCCAGATGCTCTCACAGTTTCCATTCAATGACTCACCTAGCCCCGAAGACCACACCGGTTTGTGAAAACATCGTGTACGCGGATCCACCACAATAGTCAGCTAGCTAGAGCAAGCTGTGTCACAGGGGGCTTTGGTATGAGACCCATGATGCATCTGACCCCACCACAAGTGGTTCCACACCGAATCTCTGGATGCTGGGCTTGCCGTCGCTCGTTGTTTGTTGTCGGAGAAATGGAAGGTTGATCATTCGCGTTCCGGAGTAAGTCGTACGTTTTCATAGTGAGAGATGTCCCAGCCGCGAATGCACAGGATCTGACCACAACAGCGGGATGTCAGCAGTGCAGAACGCGACGGGGCTGTCTCTCGCCATCACAGTAGCGGAAGCCTGCGCGGTTGTAGTTAGCTCGGCTGCCAAATTGTCCGAAGGAAAGCCCACAAAACACTGCTAGGGTAAACATGACCCGTGGACACCAGAGTAATGCGTAGTCTCACCGTAAGGATGCCCACATCAAGCCAGCTTGTCTTCTGATGCAAAGCAGCCACACCAGCGCCGAAAACCCGCTATTCCCACAATGCCCTTTCCCCCAAAACATTTGTCAAGCGCGGCCCTCCAATGTAGCGGTGCTCTTTTCCAACCG